TTAGATTTTCACAGACAGCTCAGTTTTAGCCAAGACGTTTATGTTTTGTCTTTTAGACATATTTTAATCAAAACATATTTACTGGATATCGATCATGTAATGGCTACTTATAGCAGGACAATCCTCCATGTTGAAAGCTCAACTTATCTCAAATTAGTTTCTTATACATGGCAATGTTCAGAAATTGTTATATATTAATATATTCATTGTATTTTTTTAAATATCCATGTCCTTTAGCCCTTTTTGATTGTAAATTGAAAGCATTTATCTTTGCCAGTTAATCAGGAAAGATGATTCATTGTTCATTCTCTTGAAATATTCTGTTAGTCTATATTTTCGTCTCATCTTCAGACTCCAGGTAGACTTGTGGCTCATTACCACTGTGTGGTTTGCTCGGTCACTATCGCTCGCAAGACAGACATGATCAGTCATCTCAAACGCCACATCAACAAGGGTGAGACAGAGGCCAGCTATTCAGGAAACTTGGATGTCCCATTTGAAGAACCTGGTGAGCTTTTACTGTCGGAGTGAAATCTTTTAATGTTATTGACTCTTCCTGGTTTGATGTGCTTTACTGACATAACAGATTATTTGTGCTGACAGCACAGCTCAAGGTGAGACAATAGCCATCAAAAGAGAACTGCCTGAACTGGATGCCAGTTTCTTGATGTGGAATGATGGGATTGTTTTCATGAAAATAATGTTTTCATGTCTTTTCAGATAGCATGTTAGGAGTTATTACTCTCCTCTGTCTTTTTAATCTTTAAGTTAACTGTACCAGACTTCTCCATTGTGATTTTATATGTCTTTCGTAGTGCCATGTGGACAGGCCTATGAGATCATGAAAGAGCTGGGCACCAATGTCCAGCTCCTGCCCAACCACACAACACCCCAGAAGACAGACACCTACTTCAGCCGCAAGATGAAGACAAACAGGTGTTGCTTTTTTGAGAACTGTGCATTTTCTTCAGAAGTCTCATAATCAGATTTTAATGTGTACATGTCCGGCCAACATTAATCAAATATTTATTTCTGCCTTAGCGTTATTAATGGAACTGAGGTTAAGGTTTACTTGATATTTAACATTCGAATGATGGTGGTAATAATATTTCCATGCTTAATAATGTATTTGTTGAACAATAATCAACAGACTCCATGTAGGCCTGTTGTTAAACCATAAACAATATAACCTTCATATTCACATTGTCCTTATTTTATTACTGACTAAAACTAAACATCGTCTCTATGTGACATTTGTAGGCAGTTGGTGTTCTGTTCTTTAGCAGTTCTTGCTGAAGAGAGGAATCCACTCGAATGTCTTGACGCATTTGGAGCAACTGGTAGGAAATCTAGGCTACATAAAGACTATCTGATAACTGATGATAATAATACATTTGTCTGCTACATATATGATAAACAATTGTATGAATATTTACATTAAATACTGATCCCTTTTGTAGGTATCATGGGTTTGCAGTGGGCAAAGCATCTGCGTAATTCTGTAAAAGTTACTATAAATGACATAAACGAAGCTTGTGTTAAGATGATCAAGGAGAACTGTCATCTAAACCACATCCGAGTTGAGGGGAATCGTACGGGCCGGCAGTTAGACGGAGCAGGAGATCCAGAGTCGCCCATTGCCTCCGTGGAGGTGGTAAAAATGGATGCAAATGTCATCATGCACCTGAGACCCTTTGACTACATGTAAGTGAATAACTGCAAAAATAATCATAGTACCCATGAATAACTATTCAATAATTATAATTATTTTCTTTAAATCAGACATCTCGATCCATTTGGGACGGCTATAAACTATCTGGACGCTGCTTTTCGCAATGTTCGAAACTTGGGGATAGTCTCTGTGACATCAACTGACACTGGTTCGCTTTACTCCAAATCCCTGAATGTGACACTTCGACATTACGGTTGTCAGATCGTCCGAACTGAGTATTACAGGGAACTGGCAGCACGCATGGTATTGGCGTCAGTGGCCAGGTGTGTGGGTCTTTCTTAGATAAAAAAAGTGAAAGTTTGCCAACTATCTTGTTAAATAGATTGTTCACCAAAAAACGAAAATTCTGTCAATAATTAAGCCGCCTTTCCACTGCACATGACAAGCGGCAGACCGAAAGTCATTAATTTCCAATGGAGAGTAGTCCGGAAGCTAAGTTCCGATCATCTCCACATGTGGATAATTCCGATTCCATTTGAACTGCGGATTCGTTAAACTATTAGAACTTCTGCGACTAGACCGGCCGACCGGATATGATGTATTACAGTGTTGTTCAAGCAGATCTGTGTGCATGAGATATGAAATACTTGCTTTATGTAGTTTTTTTTAAATCAGAAAAAGTCTATATCAAAAAAAATTCTATTTATAAATGAGTAATAAAAAATATTATTTTTAATCTTGTCTCCACATTACCTCCAAAACTTTAAGCAGTCTATGATGAGTTTCTACTATTCATTCATTCAACCATGGTGAATGCACAGAGAATAAGGGCTTTTCCACTCAGACACCACTGCGAGAATCAACTTCCCAAGGTGCACGATAAAACTGAATATTCTGTGTGACTGCCACAAGGGGACGTATTCCAACAGTCGTGTGCAGTGGAGAGGCAGCTTTACTCACTCTCATGTTGTTTTAAATGCCTTTGATACACAAATTAAGATAATTTGGATTAAATCCGACAGCTCTCGGAGATGGAAATGCTCCGGATATGTTCAAAGTCCAGAAAGGTACTAAAAAGTGGTTGTTTAGTGGTTCAATCGGCATATTATAAAGCTACGAGAATACTTATGTGCGCACATAAAAAAAAGGACGACTTTATTCAACAGTTTTTTTCTCCTCAGTGTCAGTATATTTTGGAAATGAACATGTGCACAATATACTGACACTGAGTAGAAGAAACTGTTTTCATTTTTGTTTTACATCTGCACAAAAACATTCTCATAGTTTGCTAATATTCCGAAGGGCATCTGTTTTGAGTTTTTTTTTTTTTTTGTATAAGTCGGGACCATTGCTATCTGTGGAGGATAAGAGAGCTCTCTGATTTCACCCAAAATATCAAAAAAAAATTCTCTAATGAGAAGTCTGGTGAGTTTGGAATTACATAAAGGTGATTAATTAATAACTGAATTAATATTTTTGCGTGAACTAACACTTTAATGCATGTATATGCAGGGCAGCTGCCCGATGCAACAAAGGGATTGAGGTGCTGTTAGCTGTGGCTCTTGAGCACTTTGTCCTCGTGGTGGTGCGAGTTCTCCGAGGGCCCACCCAGGCAGATGAGTCTGCTAAAAAACTGCGGCAGCTGTTGCACTGCCAATGGTGTGAAGAAAGGGTGTTCCTCAAGCCAGGAAGTATGGTGGAAGGTGAGAAGTCAATTTGGCAAATAAGCAGCTGCATCTTTATTGAGTCCCAATAGCCTAAATTGCCAGTACTGGCAAAGCTTATGGGTTGATTTGAATGGAGATGTACTTGTAATATGGATACCTGCCAAATTCAAATACAGTTAAAGTCACAATTATTAGCCCACCTGTGATTTATTTATATTTTATTATATGTTTATTTATTTATTTTTCAGGTATTTCCCAAACAATGTTTAACAGAGCAAAGAATTTTTACACAGCATTTTCTTTAATATTAATACTTGACTGAAAATTGAATTCCCTTGCTTTAAGAACACTGTGGTCACAATGTACACAGTCTTTATGGTTACTTCCCATAGACTTTTATAAGCACCTTTATACTGTACAAACTGTATATTCTATCACTCTACCCAAAAACCCAACCCTGAAATGAAACAATATGCATTTATACATTTTCAAATTATTGAATTTTGTGTGATTTATGATACATTTTTCTCATGAGGCTAAAAATGGAACAAAAAGTCGAAACGTACTGGCATTGCTATATTTGAGTAAACATAGAGACTCAACAATGCAAGGAATGTACAGTATCTAGTGATTGTAAACAAATATTATTCTGATTTGTTTGTTATTTTGGCTCCAATAAAAGCAGTTTTTAATTTTTTTAAAAATTATTTTAAGGTTAATATTATTAGCCCTATAAAGCAATATTTGTTTTTGATTGTCTACAGAACAAACCACTGTTATATGATTTGCCTAATTACCCTAACTTGTCTAATTAACCTAGTTAAGCCTTTAAATAACACTTTAAGCTAAATACTAGTATCTTGAAAAATATCTAGTAAAAATATTATGTGCTGTCATCATGGCAAAGATAAAATAAATCAGTTAAAGAAATTAGTTATTAAAACTATTGTGTTTAGAAATGTGGTAAAAAAAATCTATAGGAAACAGAAATTGGGGAAAAAATATACAGAGGGGTCAATAATTCTGTCTTCAACTTTAAATACTGTACCTAAATAGTTAAAGCATGTTCTTGCTTGTGGTATCAACAGAAAACCTGTACAGACAGCTGCCTTGCCAATGCCATGGGAGTATGCCAGGAAAAACGGCAGTAGAACTTGGACCACTTTGGTGAGATGATGTCTTATTTTGATGATGATGATGATAGGACTTAGTAATGCATGATTCCTTCATTATTCACCATTACATTTTCTTTTTTTTTTTATATTATCTTTGTTTGATTTGATTTTTATCCATTAAGGGGTGGTCCACTGTTTAACACTGGGTTTCTGAGGCGGATGTTGGTTGCGGCTGTGCAGCACAATATGGAAGACATACAGCCGCTGGTGAAGACTTTGATCTGTGAGGCTGACTGCACCACTCTCAAGCCTTTCCCCGTCCCGGGACACTCTGCCCTCTCCAATCAAGGTGTGTTTGGGTGTGTTTAGACTATTACTTTTTGGTTTTTCCAGTAATCTTCTGAAATAACAGGGCCTTGACTTCACTTTTGCCTTTAATTTTGAATATTAACACTGACTTATTTTTATCTCTAGTGGAGTGTGGTGTAGTCATAAAAACTTTACAGAAAGTTGAAGAGGCAGATACATCTGACCAGTCAGGTATTGATTGCTTTATCTTTTATCTGTTGTTCTTCTCCCTGCTGTTAGGAATTTAAATGTCCCCAGGATATCCTAAACTAAAAGATTAATTCACCTAAAAATAAAAAAGGTCATAATTTACTCACCCTCATGTTGTTTCAAACCCATTACTCTTCATTTCGAATTTGAAACACAAATTATTAGGGTTGTTCACCCAAAAAAATGAAAATTACCTTGTGTGGTTTTAAACCTTTGAGTTTCTTTCTTTCATTGAAACCAGAGGAAAATATTTTTAAGAATCCTGGTTCCTGGGTCCCATCGATTTCTGTAATAGAAAAAATAATTACTATGGAGTTCAACAGGTGCCATCTATTAGTATTTTTCAAAGTATTTCTTTTGTGTTTAACAAAAAGAAACTCAAATCGTTTTTCTGAACAAGTCTAAGGTCAGTAAATGAATAATTTGGGGCTGAACTGTCCTTTGAAATCATTTTGTATGAAAGCCCATAGATTTATTTACTTATGCAAGTCAATTAGACCCAACTTTTGAAAAGATAATCGAGATTAGGAGTAATCGAAATAGACATTAGCTATGTTTCTGTCCGCCTATTTTTAGGTGCATTTTGGAGATGCACATAAAAAAAACGGTCAATGAAAACGCCAAGATGCACATAAATTTTGAAAACGCACATTAATAACATATGCACATAACTGAGTAGGATAAACTTGCATAAACTACACTTTTACAGATGAAATTCCAGTACGCACATTAAAAAAAGGTCATGTGATTTTGTTCTAAGAGATCATGTAATGATGAAAATGTGTGTGAATAGATAAACCAGCAGGCTGAGCACACTGTAAAACATCTGAAATGTTGTTTTTGTCATTTTAAAACACCTTAACCATTTTAGTATTAGTGTTATTAATTACCTTCAGAACCAAGAGAGTCTGTGCTCTGTGTCTTCAAACGTTCATTGCATGTCAGCATTTGTCTTCTGATGCGCAAGTCGTTTATTAAATAAAGAAAAGATTCACGCAGCCTCTTCTACTGCAGTAAATTCCATTTTTACTGTTGATATTTGGCGCTAGTTCATCTAGAAGTGACAATTTTGTTTGTAGTAGGATGGAAACGCTGCTTTATTTGCACGTCTTTTATGCAATATTTTAGTTTTGTGCTTAAATTGAATTAGCATATTTAGATGGAAACATAGCTATTATCACCTTATTTGACGTGCATAATGTTGTTTTTATTTCTATAAAAGTGGACACACAAACTAAACGCATCAAATATAATAAACGAAAGTTTAAATATGTTGAACCATTTGTATTCAGGGAAAAGAAAGACCACAGGAGACGACGGTGGGAATGTGCTGAAAAAAGTCAAACCGGACACCTCTTTGGAGCATCCAGCGTTCTACTACAGCATCCATCGGCACAGCATTCGCGGCATGAACATGCCCAAGTACGTCAGTGCAAAACCTTTACATAAACAGTCATGCATTGCCATCCTGTGATATAATTGTCTTTTCCTCTCTAAGGTTGAATAAGTTCCTGCAGTATCTGACAGAGGCTGGGTTCAGAGTGAGCCGTACACACTTCGATCCAACCGGCGTGCGAACTGATGCCACCCTGGCTCAGTTTAAAGAAGTGCTAACAAAATATAGTGTGCCCACTTACTCGTCCGCTCCTCAGAGCAGTGCTATCAGCTCAGACCGACGACAAACTCTCTGATTTCAGATGCGAATGTAACCAAACCAGAATTTATATTTTGTCTAGAAGATCTTGGAAAGCAAAGAGGTCACTAACTCTTTCTTTGGCTTTTTAATTGCTGATTTATCGATGTTTATTGCAGATTTAACAGCAAGAGAATTTCATGAAAAGAAAACAGATTCATTTGAATGAAAATTGTTGTTTTATTTTTTGTTTATTGTGGATTGCACTGAGGCTTTGATCCATAATGGCTTCTACAGTGTTTAATTCACCATCTTTGCTCACAATGATACAGTATTATTGGCTTTTATTCTTTGATGTTTGAATGTTTAATCTACTCAAATAATTTATGGACACTATTTCAGAGGTGTACGTTGATCTGATTTTCTATTCCACTTTGTTTTTGCTTCATTATTTTAACAGTTGTTCTGTATAATATCAATAAAGCATCTTCCCTCATTTGTCTTGTCATAATTTGAGAACATCAGAGTGACACTTGAGTAAATCACACAAAAAATATGTGAATATAACTGTGTTTTTTCCACCCTTTCCAAGAGTTTTGTATGTTTTCAGTTTTATGATTCATCAGCTTGATCTATGTGAAGTATTTTTTAAATTACCGCCACACCTTTTTATTTATGTAGTACAGTGTCTAGAACTCCCTAATATGTGCTAAAATTAACTTACTGGTATGGTAATTTGAATAGAAACCGATTGTGTTAGGAGATATTATAATAAATTCAAGTCTGTCTAGTGCAGGGATGGGCAAACTTGATCCTTGAGGGCCGCTGTCCCTGCAGAGTTTTGTTCCAACACTAGTCTAACACACCTGAACAAGCTAATCAGTGTCTTCAAGATCACTAGAATCTATAAGCAGGTGTGTTTGATTAGAGTAGGAGCTAAACTGTGCAGGACACCGGCCCTCCAGGACCGAGTTTGCCCACCCCAGGTTTAGTGTGTCAGGAATGTACAGTATTATATTTCACAAACAAAGATTCTTCTTCACTTGGAGTGTTTACCATGGAGATTGTAACACAGCTCAGATTGTCTTACGTATAAACAGAGTAGCCTGATTTTTAGAAGACACAGCATGTTATTTTCAGAGTGTCTGTACAGTAAATTAGAAGTTTTCTGTTTTTTGTGATTCATGTTTTTATTTAATCATGTTTATTCATGCTTTTCAATTGCATTATGGGATCTTGATCTTTCTCACAACAACTTTTAACCTTAAATAGTTTGAAAAAAGTGACTTTTATTAACATTTTAATAGTTTAAAGGGATATATTGTCTGGGTTGGTGATGTAATGACGCTACAAAAACCTTGTAATAAACCTTCAGTACATTTTCTGTTATTTTACATATTTATTTCTCTCTCTAGCTATTATTTCTTATACATTATGTTATTTCAGATTACTTCAAATGTCAATAAAGTCACTTTGGTAAACTGTAGAGTTTATTTTTAACATTTAAAGTCGACAGAACGGAGATCAAGGTAATGCAATTCACAACTGTAAATAACGGAAAGCACAAAATATGGAAACTGTTAATAACAGATATTTACAGTGTGTGTCAAAACTTGAGCTAAATCCCTAGAGAGCCTTTCTGCCTAGGTAGGGAGCTGTAAAAGACAGCCCTTCAGTGTCCTAATTGGCAGTTTCATTCATGCCCCTCCCACAATCCTGAAATATAACACCTGCTTTCACATTCTCCCTCAGTAGTGCTTACAGTGACCCTGATTTATCTTCACCGAGAGCTCACCTGAACCAAGCACACCAGTATGGGAGCATCGTCCAGTTTACTGGATGAAACTCAATCCAACTACATAAAAGGTATGCGTATAAAAACTTCATATGGTCATATCAAGTCATTAAGTTGGTATTTAAAGAGTTTTTTTATATTGACATTAAGTTTTCTAATGCTCGAAACTACTTAGAAGTTGCCTATTTTGTTGTAGGTTTTCCAGTATTGCAAGCATTTGGATAGAAAGAGTCAATTTCATCGAAATGCATGAGATGTTTTCTGTTGTCTAATATGGGATGGTCATGCAGTGAGAGATTTATGTTGAATTTAACTAATTGGTCAATGATTATCATTAGTGTCAGTCAGAACGCTCAGCCTGCACAGCGTAAGAAGTGTACAGCAGAAACCTGTTGGTTTTCTTCTTCTGGCCATTGTGAACTATGTGGGTGGAGGTTTTGGTGTTTGTCAGAGAGCATAAAGGATTAAAGCTGCTCTGCTATTTGCTCGAATGGAAAACAACTTAGATTTGTCGGTGTTTGAGATTCACATCAGTAGTTTGCACAAGTGCACTTTCGATTTGTGCTTTTATACTTGAAGCAAATTAGGCTTTTTCCATTTATTTACAGAATTTTTAATTTGTAAAACTGCTGCATGGGTCATGTCATCTAAGTAGCCTACATTTTGAGTGAAGTTTTGCAACTAGTACTACTATTAATTTCATGCGCATAGCTTAATTTAAGACCATTAGTGTTTTACCACCTTCGTCAATACGTTGAAAGACCTTTTGTACATTTTATATCCGTTAACTTGACAATTTTATCCAAAGCTGGACATTCCTGGAATTTCTAACTTGGTATTCCCACATGCACATTGTCAATGCATCTTCAAAAAAGATGCATCTAAATTCTGATAGTATCAAAACATGTTACAAACCTATTCAAACGTTAGACCAAAGTGACAAACAATGGCTTAGACTAAACATTGCAATAGTATATTTCACAGATGTGTGTAAAATCTTTTTTTTTTTTGTCTGTTTTAGTTTTTTGGAACATGACAAGGCAACATTAGTATACCTTTAATGAATAAATAACTATGTCCAGTTGTTGCAGCATCACTGTGTTGAAGTCAGAGACAAATTTCTCAGATAATGTTGTCGTTTATGCCCGATGCATTTTAGAAAACAAAACAGCTACATTGCTATTTTTTAGGATTACTACAAGCCAATTAAACATTATGAATAGGGACATACAGTAGTTGTCTAATTACAACATAGATAAATACTAAAATCAAACAAAAAGTGGTTAAGGGTAGCTTAAATAATGTCTCGGTGCTTAACAGCAGAAGTCAGTCCAAGGCACTCGAAAAATGTTAAAATATTATTTTTTAAAATATTTTTTCCATATTTTTTCAGTGCCTTGGACTGACCTTGCAGCTTATAAATAAATACTAATTTAATTTATATTAAGTTGCATCACCAGAGTTAAATGAGATTTTAAAGCGTTAGTTCACCTAAAACTGAAATTTCTGTCATCATTCACTCACTTACTTTATTCATTTACTTATTCCAAACTAGTATGGCTTTCTTTATAATGATTGGCTATAAACGCAAAAGAAGATATTTTGAAGAAAGATTGAATTCTGTAACCATAGTTACAGACTTCCATAGTATTCGTTTTGTTTTTTTCTATGGAAATCAATGATAACAGGTTTTCAGCTTTCTTTTATGTTCAACACTCATAAATGTCTAAAACTACTTGAGTGTGAGTAAATAGTGAGTAAATAAACATTTTTAGGTGATGTCATGCAAACACAAATTAGACAGATTCCTGAGCTCAATCTAAAGTGTTGTGATTTCACGCCTAGAAAGGTGTTAAAGAGTGTATAGTCAGCAGCGGCTCACTTCTTGAAAAAACTTTCCCCAAACACATGTGCAGGTGTTTACGAACATTCCCTTGTCAAACTTGTACTCTTGTTGAGGTGTGATGATGGAGAACTGGCTTTACAAGTCATACAGTGTTAAAAAATGGTGGTACGTCAAGCATCTGGCACGTCAGAGCATAAGAATCCCAAACATCTCAAATGACAGTTCTATCCAAAACAACCATGAAGAGATATTGCTTGAGAGAGAGTAAGATATGATCTGTACTTCACTCCAGTGTGAAAAAATGTCTAAATCTAAATCTAATTTTAGTTTGTTACATAATTCAAGAATCTAAAAATGTATGAAAATGTAACTTACACATGAGAAATCTGAGAAAGTAGGAACACCCTCTCCATGTGGACAATCTGGTTTGGGTGTTTAATCTGAAAGAAACGATTAATTCACTGCATCATTTACACTGCAAAATGTTTACAGTACATCAGGGCCAATGCTTTTTTTTTTTTTTTTTACATAGGCTCATTCTGAAAACGTAGCCCTTTATACATTTCTGGAGATTGCAAATTATCTATAGCCAAAGGAATGCATGGCTGCTTTATATCTTTAAAGCGAATGCTAGGGGGCGATATGACGCTGTTTCTTTTCGCGCTTACCACTTACCTCTGTGTGGACGGCTTTTCCGCTGTTAACAGTTTGTTTAGTGGCTCGTTGCGTACGTCGGAGGATTTGAGATGCAAAACAGACCGTGACAACGGGGTTCAAATCTGGCAAAAACTGTTCCAGAAAGCAGATAAAACAAAAGTAAAAGCCAAAAGATAACAGGGTGAGCATGTGGTAAAATCTGAAAACATGGTAAAAATCAGGCTGCCGCGAGATTTAATTTTTCATGATTTCTTTTGAAAACACTGTCGGCTGAGTTTAAAAAAGTGGGTGGGTGCTGGTCAATCAGTGCTTTTTAAAACGCTATCGGTTTTGTTTAGGAAAGGGGAAGGATGGGGAAGGGATCGGTAAGTCAGTCAGTTAGTCAGTCGAAAGCAGAATCTGGTAGATTTACATGAGTAGAGAAGGAGTGAATAGTGCTCGTGAGACAAAATTTGAGATCTCAAAAAGCACACAAAGCGGCCTCTGGCGGATTCACGAAAAGAAAACCTGCAAAAAACGTAGCTCCTGGGGCGTATTTGTGCTCTCCAGAAATGTATATAGGGGTACGTAATCAGAATGAGCCTGGGTTGCTATTTTAATGTTCAGATTTTTATGAGATACAGATACTGTACCTTGTGAAACTGTATGTTTTATATATATATATATATGTATGTATATGACAAATATATGTCCCCATTAACTTAAATAAATATATATATATATGTGTGTGTGTGTGTGTGTGTGTGTGTGTGTGTGTGTGTGTGTGTGTGTGTGTGTGTGTGTGTGTGTGTGTGTGTGTGTGTGTGTCAAACATTTGTCAAAAAGTGATAAATATGTTGGGTTAAATATTGTAGTCCTGCTTCTGATTAGTTTTGTTTGTGGGGTTTAAAATGACTTTAACATTAACGTAAGGTTTTAACAGAGCATATTTGAAAGCATTAGAAGATATAAATCTACATGTACTGTAAACCATAAAAGAGTATAATTCTGATGATGAATGGGAGCAGTGACATTATGTTATTTTTGAGTATTTTGATTCATAGATGTTACTGTGTGTTTTAGAATAAAGTAATTGCTGTGTTGACCAAACCCAGAATTATTTAAGATTACGTTGACATGTAGTAACAATATTAGTCATAACTACCACCTTTACCTGGATTCATTTGTGCATGTTATGTCTACAGAGTGAGATTTAACCATGTATTTTGCATTAGACTGATGAGGTCTGAAAAGCTGAGAGTACAGAGAACACTGCTGCAATGTTCAGGCAGAGGGAAAACATTGGCTGATTGGCTATAAACACACATTATTATTCTCTGTTCACTGTTCATTCTGTTTATTTTGTATGTGGTACTTAGAAAAGCAGTGTTCTTTTGAGTGATCTTTTGAACCAGGCGTGTTGCACATTTAGACAATCTGCTGTGAATTTCCTCTCCACTTACCTTTCGACTGTGCCTATGTTTGTATCAGATGTAATTTTGGATTATCAATTTAATCTCTCATTTATGAATTTAGGGCGGCTGTTCTTGTTTTTTCTTCATGTGATGCATGTGCCTGTGGAAATATAGAGAAATCCTGTTTGGAAATTTCATGAATCATTAGAACATAATTCTTACAATAACTTTAATTTCAGTTAAGCTCAATTAAATACATCAGTAAAATTTTTAGTTAAGGTGAAATGTAACATTTACTAATGCATTATTATAGTGTTTATGTTGCCACTTGATAAAATATTTAAATTTTTAAATATTTTAATTTTATTATTATTATTTATTTATTTATTTATTATTATTTATATTTAATTTTGTTTATTATTAGTGAATGCTGTCAACAAAAACAGATTTGACAAAAAATGTTGAAATAAGTAAATTATAAACCTAAAATGTTAACTAATTAGTGGATTAATTTTTTTTTGTATTATTTTGGTTGTAATGTAGCACGCTATGTGTAATACTCCACTCCACAATATAAGAAGTATAGGAAACATTTTTGTTCCACAAGTATCACATGATAGAAACAAAAGACTTAGCGCCATCCTTTTCGAATAACAGAAAGTCCCACCCCAAATCACTTCAAATGTTGCATTCATATTATACACCTAAACTCATGCTGAACAAGACAAATAAAAATGACATAACTGTTTGAACTCTAATCAGTTTGATATTGTAATGATCTCGGAATTGTGTTGTCTTGCAGAACAAGTGGACGAGAAACTGAAGGATTTTACACCAATTTACAGGAAACAATATTCCGTGGCTTACTGCTCTCAGATCAAAGATGAACTTGAGCAGCGCAAAGAGGAACACACACAGTTCCTCAAACAACGGGTAAGATCAGACAAACATTAGAAAATGCTTTCACTTGTTATGTTTGAAAATCAGGTTTATTTAACTAAAACTGATTTATTAGCTCTTCTGAAGTTGTCTAAAATTAAAATAAATATGTCTGATAAGAACATACAGAAAGCTTTTTTATGCTAAAGAAATCCTTAAAATGACATTATGCTTGTGTTTGAATAAAACTAGATTTTGACTTTTGCTCTGTAAACTTCTCAAGACATTTTTTGTTATTAAGATTTCTATTAAGGTAATAATGTAACTTGGAGGCTTTTTTCATAATATATCAAGGTTTGTAATCCAAACAAAGAAACCTGTAACATTCATTCAGTATTTATGCTTCTGAGATCAGCACCTTTATTTACTGATTTAAATGACTGTTATATTGAACCACTAAGCCCCCTCCAGAGGCTGGGAAGATACTGTTTGAGGAGATTGTGTGGTACTTTGATGATGGCAGAAAGTGGAAGGAGAGATTTATCGTGATCCGTGCCTGTTACGTTTTGGAGGTCCACGAGAGCTATAAGGTAAGAGCCACAATCCATCATTTTCTGACTGAAGATAGATAAAATGTTTCCCTAAAATCTCACACCTGCTTTGCTGCAGTCATTTTTGAAAGGGACGCCTCCACAACAGAGACTGATTCCTACTGGGGGCACCATACTGACAGCTGAAGATGAATACATGGAACTGATTGACCAATGCTGCCCTTGCACTAAAAGTACGTAAATATGATTGAGATAAATAAGAGTACATGCATTAAGAGCGCTGATAATACACAATAAATCGGCCACAAACTAAGTAAACTTACAGTACAGGTGAGTGTAGCTTGAGTGTAGATAGATAGTAATTTGTTTATTTACTTTTATTTACAATATTATACACACACACACACACACACACACACGCACACACACACAACTGCTGCAGTTCAAACCGAGCATCAGAATGGGGAAGAAATGTTACTTTGAATATGGCATTTGAACGGTCTGAGTATCTCAGAAACTGCCAACTCTAGGGTTTACAGAAAATGGTCAGAGAGCGAGAAAATACCCAGTGAGCGGCAGTTCTGTGGGTGCAAATGCCTTGTTGATTCCCGAGGTTAGAGGATAATGGCCATACTGGTTCCAGCTGATAGAAAGACAACAGTAACTCAAATAATCCCTTGTTACAACTGAGGTATACAGAAGAGCATCTCTGAACGAACAAAACGTCCAACCTTGAGTTGGATGGGCTACAGCAGCAGAAGACCACACCGGGTGCCACTCCTGTCAGCTAAGAACAGGAAACTGAGACTACAATTCACACAGGCTCTCTAAAATTAGACAATAGATGATTGGAAAAATGTTGCCTGTTCTGAGTTTGAATTTCTTCTGCGACATTCAGATGGTAGGGTCAGAATTTGGCATCAACAACATGAAATCATGGATCCATCCTGCCTTGTATCAACGGTTCAGGCTGCTGGTGGGGGTGTAATGGTGTGCGGTATATTTTCTGGTCACAATTTGAGGCTGTTAGTACCACTTGAAATTGATAAAATGTAAATCATCTCCGACTGGTTTCTTGAACATGACAATGAGTTTACTGTACTCAAATGGCCTCCACAGTCACCAGAGCTCAATCTAATAAAACACCTTTGAGATGAGGTGGAATGGAAGATTCCAGCAGACAAATCTGCAGTAACATTGTGATGCTATCATGTCAATATGAATCAAAATCTCTGAGAAATAATTCAAGCACCTGGTTGAATCTATGCCATGAAGGATTAAGAAAGTTCTGGTAAAAGGTAAAGGGAGTCCAACTCGGTACTAGCAAGGCGTGCCTAATAAAGTGTCTGGTTAGTGTATATTAATCGCTCCTGCTGGCTTACTTTATCGACAAAAAAATAAAATGTCATGGGAGTAAGACTAACCATTTTTCATCAAGCAAAATTCCTCAAAGTATCTTCTTTTGTGTTACATTTTGACTGTTTTCTGATGCAGATGACCGGGAAGATTTTGCACCTCCCATGGTGGACATGCCAGGTCAATTCCCAGTTTATCTTAGACTTCCATATCGCCAGGATTCATACTTCTGCTTCAAAGATGAGGACGCTCAAGCTGATTTCATCTCCCTCTTAGCTGACTGCGTTCGCCACCAGAACAAAGGTAACATTTTCACTGCAAAGAAACTCAAGTCGAGGTTTACAAAGGTGTGACCCAGTGAAAGGTGTATTGTAATATTGAATAAACCCGAATGGAAAACGTTTGCTTGGTTTAGCAGATTATCTCAAGAAGAAGACATGTGAGGTTAAGGCTTTCCTTAAAGCCTTTCAGCTCTACAGGGAGGAGAAAGGCCAGTATGAATCGTGGGATATGCTCATTGGCAGTGATGTGCGGGTAGGTGCCTTTCCGCATCTATGCTGGTTCACACTGAAAGCTGAGTAAACAACATAGCTTTGACACTTTCATCATTGTAGTACGGCATGGAATGTTCTAGCTGTTGAACATTTTACTAAAACAAAATCATGAGGGTAATTGATGTGTTTTGTAATTTAACGTGACAGTTATGACTGTGTTTATCATTATGGGTGGAACCAATTTGTACGAAAGAACATTTCTTTCCCTTTTTTTTTTTGATACATATTTGATATAGTTTGGCACATGTGCCAAACAATTGACAGTTTCTGTGCTAAATGTCAGATCTGAATATAAAGCACGACTGCATATTTTGGCCTGTTGTATTTATAATCTAAAATCTATCTTCAAAACCTTAAGTCACACTGTTACATCAGGACAGATCGTTTCATGGAATCTAAACAATGCTGCATGCATGCAGTTTCACTCTGCAGTTTCACATATTACAGCCAACATGACAATGAACTATAGACACAAGTGTGTTTCACAGATATTAAACAACTAGCTAAAAGGAGAAGGCAGGCCAAGTGGTAAAAGTCGAGAAGTGTTCAGAAGAGCACAGCATGAACACAGAAATTTGTTGTGGTGCACATCAGTTTAATTATTAAAAAGGATCATTCTGACTGAATATATTAGTTGTGTTTGAAGCAATTATAAAACAGTTTACTTGCACAGTTATTGTTACAGAATTATTTATATATTATAAGGATTATTATTGTATTAAACTGCTTGGTAACCATAAACTCATCATAGTTGTATTTTATTCTTATTCTTATTGTTTGTATCGTTTATTTTCTATAACAATTTTAAAGTAAACTAAACAGTTTTAATTGAATTTTATATCATTATTTTTTTGTTTGTTATTTAATGTAATATATATAATTTAAAAAATAATCCAAATAATAGATTTGAAATATTGAATTCCTTATTTGGATTTTCAAAATTAAAATCACTTTTGTTAACTGGAATAAAATAAAGATTAACTAAAAAAATGACACCACAGATATGGCTACTAAGAGCATGTGAGTGTTTTAAAGAGAAATCGCACACCTCCGCAGTAAAGTGCGTGAAACCCCAACATGGTCTAACACAAGATATACATGGCAGTTATGTAACATGGTGAGTATACTGAACTGATCCAGTATACTGAGCACGTGAGCTACCTGTAAACGGTGTGGAAACAGCATTCTTTAGGCAACTGTGTGTGTTATCTTATACTTTACAGTTTAACTTATACTATATAGTTTAACTGTTTAAAATGCTGATTTTGGAGTGTCTATTTAGGCTAAGTGCAGATAGTGCACCTCTTTGGAATAAGCTAGTCGAGTGCTATTCCGTAAAGCACAAAAATGTCTTTTTTTTGTTAAATGAAAAAGCAGCTTTGACAACCGCAGTATTGCGCGTGACTGCGGTTGACACATTGCGGTATTTCGCGTGCAGAAACGCGCATTCTTAGTAGCCATATCTGTTTATGGATAAAAACTGGGGCTGCACGGTGGCTCAGTGGTTAGAACTCTCACCTCACAGCAAGAAGGGCGCTGTTACCAGTCCCGGCTGGATCAGTTGGCATTTCTGTGTGGAGTTTGCATGTTCTTCCAGTGTTGGCGTGGGTTTCCTCTGAGTGCTCCAAATTCCCCCACAGTCCAAAGAAATGCTTTATAGGAAAATAAATTTGGCCAAGTGTATAAGTGTGAATATGTTGGCTGAAAATATTGGCTGAATATGTTGGTTGAAAATGTTGGTTGAAAATGAATGAATGAATGATAGATAAAAACTACAACTACAGTGAGATTAATATTAAACAATAAAACAATCCGTGACCACACAATAATGTTAACATATAAATGTATAAAATATTAATTATTTTGTTGGTTGAACTTTTTAATGCTTGATCCGTTGATTAGTTTGTAAAATCACACTTTAACATGTCTTTTAGTTGCCTTTACTGCTTTAGCTTTTCATTATAAATAGCCAGATTATCATTAAACTTCCCTTATAAAATAGTGTAGGAGAAATGACTGAAGTCAGATCAATGATTGGTGGATTTTGTTGTTTAGATAAACAGATGATATCAGTCTATTGTGAGTTTGAGTCTAGTCTGTGGTTTAACTTTACATAAACTGTGCAGCTTGATGTTAAGCTACAAATATTTATGAACCTCTGCATGTGTGTTTAGGGTCTCGCCAATCTGTTCATGGAGGATTTGATGCCTTACCTGGAGAAAGAACTGAAGAGCAAGAGGACAGACAAGAGGAAAGTGTGGTTTGCGGTGCGTCTCTTTAATCTTCTACTTCATAGTTAGCCATTAGCATTATGTTTCTCCAGAACCTGCCCTTGATACAGAAACTGGGGTGTGTGATGTTGATGTAAACATCAAATGCCTCACACCCAAACAGCTTTAGGCCAGAAATGTCCCTTTGGTGTTTCCTAAAGGGTGGAACAAACCAGAAACATACCAGAAACACATTACATTCCATAGCTGTGATTACAGACAGACAAAGAAGAAACAAAGAATGATTAATATGGCACTTATGAAGCTTATGCAATTTTAGTTAATGACGTTGACCCCTTTTGTTTTATAGACTGTTGAATCTGCTTATTTCCTGCTGCAAGAACATCTATTTGATAGGATGACCACACTGAAAGAAGAGTGCAAAAACAAGGCAAAACAGCAGGAGGCACTCATGCGCTCAGATATGGACCAAATCACCAACTCAAGAACTTACCTGGAGGGAAAACTTCAAGGTACTTGATCAAAGTAAATCTAAATCTGTTTATAATTTTAAAAGACTTGCAATTGTAACACAGTCAAACATGCAGAACTGCATGCATATTGCTGCAAAATAATATACACTACCTTTCAAAGGTTTGGGTTCAGCAATACACCGGTCATCCACATCAACTATATTTAAAGATTTATATAAGGGACGAAGGCGATATATAATGCCTTGTTGATTAACAGATGCTTCTTTTAAAGTAACACTCTGCTTTTTGGGGGGAAGACTCATTTTAAAGTTTACAGAGGTTTACCATTTTTGAATCCATTTAACCAATCTCCAAGTATGGCGGGGCACATTTTAGCTTAGCTTTGCATAGATCATTGATTCAGATTAGACCATTAGCATCTGTCAATTTTTTATTTTTTTTAAAGAATTTCAATATTTTTAATTTCTTTAAAACACTGTACTTGAATCCATTTAGGCACTTTCCGGGACTCAGAGGGAGCACTTTTAGCTTAGCTATGCATAAATCATTGAATTGGATTAGACCATTAGCAAAACCTTTTTTTAAAAAGATTTTCAATATTATTAATATTAAAAGCTTGACTCTTCTGAAGTTACATTGGTTACTAAGACTGATGGAAATTGAAATGTTGATACTGTACTATGGCTCCAACCAAGTGGCCTAAGCACATAATGTAACTACAGAAGAGTCAAGCTAATAATAGGAATATTATTGAAAATCTTTTTTAAAGGGGGTTATGCTAATGGTTTAATCTGATTAAATGATTTACGCTGAACTAAGCTAAAAGAGCTCACGCGAGTCCCGGAAAGTGGCTAAATGGATTCAAGGACAGTTGTGTAAATTTATTTTCAAAACATATTACCAACCCCAAACATTTTAGCCATAGGTGGGCCCACACGGAATCTGTGCGTGCAGAATTCCGCAGAATTCCACAGATTTTTAGCCCGTCATTAATTATATTTATTTACTTAACTAAATGTGTGTAAATCTATATTTATTCAGTTTTTTTTATTAATTACAGTAATATTATTGACTAATATAAAGATGTTCATCTGATTTATGTACAATGCAGTTTTTAAAGGAATATTTTCTGTCTTTTAGTAGAGATATTATATGAGAGTATTGCTTTGTTTACCAAATAAAGTGAATCTAATTGGATTTGCATTTTAAACACTAAATAAAAGTTAAAAAGATATTATTTTTTATTTAATATATTAAAGTTTTAGTTATACTACCAAAATCATTCCGCACAAATCCACAGATTTTTTGCAAAATTCTCAGCAGAAATATCAAAAAAACGTCCGCATATTCGGTCTGGCCCTGGCCATAGGGTATGGACAAATATTAAATGGCCATCAGTAAAAAAATGTATCTCTTTATTTTGATCACAATATTCCATGATTATTTTTTTAACCCCTCACCTGGGCAGCCCTGGTATCCGAGCCTGCAACAAAATACTGCGCAGAGCAGGTACAGCCTCACCTGCCAGCTCTCTTGGAGGAAGTGATGGGTCCCATCAGCCTGGGCTTCACCGAGGCCAGAGATCTGAGCGAGGGCATGATGGAGCAGCTCTGTGAGGACTTCCAGGATCCTCAGCAGGAGGTGGAACTCCGCCAGGTCAGAGCAACTAACACATGAATGATAAACACTAGTCCACACCACTTTCTTCTGAAGACAAATTACTAAAAAAAAATACTACATTATTACACTACAGGTGAAAGGTTGAAAATAATTGTTTTCATTCATAATATTTAGTCTGTTTTTTCAATTTCATACCATTTGTGTAACTGATGGACAATAAAATGCCGGCCATATCGGTATCGGACGATAAACGTATATTTTTTAATGATAATGTTATTTGCATCACAAGGAAATAAATTATCAGCTGATAAATTAAGATTTAGTTTAAGTTTATGCTGGAGGCAAAATGACAACAGTTTACACCATGAAATAAGTGGACTTTAGGTAAAAATTCTTGAACAAGATCTTAAGGTTTAGAGGTTTTCTGGAGCTAAAAAAAATCTGTTGTCCACTGCATTTGTGATTTTGTGTTTATTGACTTCCAAAAATAAAAGCTATTATTTACTGTTAACAGTCAAATGTCAGATTTTGTTGATGATTTATTCATGTTATTAATTTTTTTTATTTTAATTGGTAAAAAAAACACTTTGAAAAATATAAACAATTAAATTTAAATATTTGGGGTAAAAAAAAATGACCCCAATGGGAAAGATACAAATGTTTATATTAAGATAAGTAGGTAATAATTTAAAAAATAAAACTATTAATAATTTTAGTCAGCTACTAAACTGAAAAAGAGTCAAGTAAAATTTTTATAACTGTTGCTATTTATAACTGTTGCTGAAAATTAAACTTTGCAATCAGAAAAAAACGTAAAATCTAATAAAATAAACAACATCTATTTCAAATTATAACAAATTTTCCACAATATTACAGTTCTTACTGTATATATGATTAAGTAATCAGTCTTAACTAGCTTTTTTCAAAAACATTACAAAGTCCTATATTTATTATAAACATTTTACCAGTAGTGTTATGCTAACCTTCATAGTACAACTGTAAAACTTGAAACAAAGTAATCAAACAACGTCTTCTCTTTCTCTCTCGTGCTAAAGGCTCTGTTTAAGATGAGTAAGGCTAATTTGCAAAGCTGTTATGAGAAAGTGAGTGGACTGAAAGATCACGTTCAGGAGCTGCAGCAAACCTTCAACTATTCCATCAAAGGCCTGGTGGACAGCACCGAAATTTACTTAAAACAGGTACTGTACCCTTAAAGTACTAAACCAATACAAATCTGTTTTAAGATTAATTCTGGTCCTAAATGCGTCAATTGTGTGATAACTGTAGCTGATGGAGAATGTGGAGTACTCCTTTGAGCTTCTTGTAAAAAAGGCTCTGCTGGACCCGTCAGTCAATTTTTCAGAGGCAATGCAAAAAGCTTCCGACCGGGTTCTGAAAGTAAGCATATCACTTTACATTTACAAACGATAGATAGTTGATAGATAGTTAAAAAGATATTTGCTGCAGATCGTTTGATTTCATTTTACTTTGTCTTGAAGCAATTTGACTATGACAGTAGCACAGTGAGAAAGAGAATCATCCAGGAGGCTTTGGTCAACATCACTTTTCCCAACATCAAGAAGCATCTGGACCCATCCTTTAAAGAGGTACAGCGCATTTAAAGCAGTTGCAAAATGACAAACATGTACAACAATTTAAGTAAATACATTACATCTACTCACCTAATACAGCTTTTCTCCGAATGTACTTTCAGGAACTACCTAAATTCGAGCAATACATATTTGCTGATTATTCAAACTTCATCAGTGTGGAAAATGTGTATGAGGACATTATCCAGCAGATACTGGAAAAAGATGTCAGCACTGGTAAGTCGCAGAATGTCTCACTATTTAATATTAGATTTTTTTCATTAGATCTTTCCCTAATGAAAATACAGTATTTCACTGTTAGTTTATGCTAACTCATGGTGCATTAACTAATATTAACAAGCATGAATTTGGATTTTAATAAAGCATCAACATATGTTAAACTATGATTAATATATGCTGTACAAGTATTGTTCATATTTAATTCATGTTAGTAAATACATTAACTAATGAAACCTTATTGTAAAGTGTGACTGGAGCATGTACTGTACACCATTGACACCATTTTCAACAAAAAAATTTACTTTAACAATAGCATTTTGAGATCCTGAAAATACAAACTTCTGGAAATAAGTTTTGCAAGTGCAAGTTTTGGAAAATTATCATTTATTAAACTAGAAAAAATAAAAGAAAATAGAAAAAAAAAGTCTGCACACCTCAGCTCCAAACATAAAGTCAATGACAAACACTTACACTTTGTGTTTTTAATACATTGTTGCTGTGTAAGCACACACCTAAACAATTTAAATATGTACATCTCTTTGTTTTTAAGTGCTATTAGCATCCAGATATCTTTTTGATATATCCAGAAATATATTTTCTTCTTCTTGAGAATGTTTTATTTGTTTTAGATTGGCAGGAATGAAATCAATTTTAAATTTTTAAACAATTACTTGTAAAGGGCACCAATTTTACCCCTTTTACAACATGTAAGATAAGCCTTTGGTGTCTCCAGAATGTGTCTGTAAAGGGAGTCTGAGTTGAGTGTAACGTTTTTTGTAGGCTGTCGCTTTAAATGCAAATGCGCTGCTTCTCCCCGCCCACCGTTCCCACGTGCGTGTCTGCTTCTCGTGCATTATGTCAGATAAACATCAGTCACTGATAGAGACAGACTAGGGTGAAGCTGAAATACAGCTCATTAGTCAAAATACCAAGTAAGTTTACTTCATGTATTTGTGGTGGAGTTTATTCAAGCCTTTCTGAAATGATGAGTTCCGCCACACAAATGCTGTTTGCAGTACACACATATTAGTGTTTACTGACACCATGCAGCCGTGGTGATCATAGCTGTAAAGAATTACATAGCGATTTCACTGTCATTATTATATATATTCTAAGTTAAGCTGCTTTGACACAATCTATATTATAAATAAACATGAATTTAATTTAATTAAATTATTACAAACATGCTCTGTTTTAAAAACATTTTATACTTACAAAAATTACAGAGACTTGGAACGGATATTTTGATCCCAGATTCTTTTCAAAACAATGTTTTGTGGACATGTGTATACATGTTATTATAGAAACATGGCGCCTGTCAAGGTTCAGGAAGGATAAGGGAGCGAGGACTCAAATGCAACAAGATGATTTATTATAAATTAAAATAAAAGAAAAAGGACAACAAAAACCACCCCGAGGAGGGAAAAACATAACTATAACACAAAAAGGGTAAACAAACTTCGCTGGGCTGGCAAGACAGGACTGGACCATGAACACTGGGAAGTATCGACAACAAACTGGCACAGGACAGTAGACATGAGGAGAATAAAAGCAGAAGTAAATTAACACACAAACAGATTAACATAATTAACTAATAATGGGTTAACAAGAAGGGTGGGACAAGACAATAGACGGGAGAGCACATGACACAACACAAGCCATGTGCTCACATAAAACGAGACTAGAACACGCAGCCAATGAGAGAACTCATTAACCGCGTGTTCACAAGACAATACACAAGCACAACACTAAAGCACACCACAAAAGCACGTGACCACAATGTAAACATTCAGCCATGTGCTTAGACAACACAAACCTAATCAGACGCAAGGCACGAGCACACAATTAATGAAACACCTTACCGTGCGCTCACACATAAGCAATGTGCATGTTTCGTCTCAGCGGCAACCGAAACCAAAACCAACCAGACTGAGACGCTGAGAATGAAACATCGCGATGCTGACAGAACAAAACACAAATACGAGTACAAGAGTGCACGTTCAAAGCACGCAAAGATGCCGCGCGCCCGCATCAAGCGGGACCGCGCACAGTCTACGCGCACCCACAACACACACACACAATGACAGAAAACAAGTGCTCGACTCGAGAAAACTCGAGCAGAGCACAACAGGACAAGACAAGCTAGTGTCCGGACTCTGCCACTAAAACAAGAATTTACAAGACCAGAGTATCAGAACCCTGACAGGCGCCTGTCAATGAATTCGATTGGCAGGGTAAACTGCACTCCTCATTGTGGTAAACTGCAGTCACATTGTGGTGAGCCTCAAAATCACTGGGATTTGGGTCATATTTTAACGTCAAGAAATTTTTAAAAAGAGACTTCTTGGGTTTATATCACTCCAATATGAGTGTGGACACATTATACCTCCACACAATTCAGTCCAAACAGCTATCAAAAGTTGATTTACATCATATGTGCCCTTCAAGGTCAATATATTTAGCCCCCTTAAATAATCTTTCTTCCTGATTGGTTACAGAGCAAACCACTGTTGTCCAATGACTTGCCTAATTATCCTAACTTGACTAATTTGCCTAATTAACCTAAGTCTTTTAATCTTTTAACATAATTAGTGAAATATTATACACTGTCATCATGGCAAAGACAAAGAAAACTATTTATTAAAACTTTTGTTTAAAAATGTGTTGAAAACAAATCTTCTCGATTGGTAAATATTAGAAAAATAATTCAAATTTGACAGGAGTACTAATCATTTTGACTTCAACTGTATATAAATATCACTCATAGGATTTCAGGTTTGCATATTCTCAAATCTGATTTGTGTTTTTGTCTACCAGTGGTCAAGGAGGCAGCCAGCAGAAAGAAATTCAACCTGATTACAGAGAGCAAATACAAATTCAGCGTGTCCAGCTTATCGTCCACACCCCCAGGATCAGCACCCAGCAGCCCATCGCGCTTAAACACTTCCCCGAGCCAGCGATCGCCACTCCCGCCTTCCCCACTGTTGACCAATGGCCTCACAGCAAACAGATCTGTCACTGTTCACTCGCCAAACTCAGAAAACAGCACTCCCATGGGACGAATCGACGAGGGAGAGTACAAAACACCCATAGAGGGATGCAGCGATGATGTATTTTTCACTTCCGAAACGTCAACCGAGACCAAACCAGAACTCAGAACTACCACAAACGCCAAGGAACCTTCAGTCAGTTCCTCTCCTGTTATTGTGATAACAGAAGCCAAAGAAAGCCCTTCAAGTTCAGCAAAAGCAGGAGATGGAAGTTTATCAGACTTAGCCAATAAACCCACAGTGATCATCAGCCCGATCTGCAAGAATACTGCTGGAATGGAGAAGCTCAGAGAAGTGATGGAGTCGGATGATCCGGCCTTGACTAAAGCAAAGATATGCGATGAAAGCACACATCCAATCTCTGTTTGTTTATCTATTGAAGATGCAGAGGTTGGGGAAGTCCACAAAAAAATGACAGGCAAGCAAATCATGGATCTTCCAGAAAAAGCCCCAAAATCGTGCTCATCACCGTACCTGGAGGATAAAACCAGGCCTCTCGATTGTGTTAAGGAGATCCGTGACCTGGTGGTGGAGGTTATTGAAATAGAGGACACAATTAAGCCCAACGAAGACAATAATGATGATGATGATGATGTTGATGATGATGAAGACATTCAAAGGTTTCAGGAACTAGAAGCTACAATTTAAGTGCACAAGACAAACTGTACATATTGAAGCTTTTTTGTTATTGTGCAGAAGGTAATTATTCTTTATTGTAATTATAGTTTTATTGCAATTCCAAAGTTTGGGGTCAATACGTGCTTTTCCAAGATTTTTGATTCATCAAGGATGTTAATGAAGTGACATTACAAATATTTATATTATTTAAAAGACATTATTTTTTACTTATTAGTTGTCAATGAAATCTGAAAAAGACGTTTCAATAAAAATAAGCAGCACAACTTTTTTTAGCTGTGAACTTACGATATTTTTAAGGACCATTTGAATGATCTCTGAAGAATGACTACAAATAAAACATTAAACATGCATTTTAAATACAATAGTATAATTCTTACTTTATTTAAATTCTATAAATCCAACCTGGGTACACATTCTTTTAAAATAATACAAAAATAAAAACGTTTATTTCTTTAAAGATTTTTTAAAAGATCTTTTTGAAGTGACTGTTTTCAGATGTGAACATAAGACATGTTTAAGGACCATTTGAATGATTTCTAAAGAATGACTAGACTATTATATGCAATATTATGGTTCTGACAGTTTTCTTTAATTCCATAAATCCAACCTGGATGCACATTCTTTTAAAACACGTATCAATCCCAAACTTTAAATTTTTAAAAAAGTATTAATGATTATTAAATGTTTCTCTAGCGAATGAGGACTGTTGATTGTGCAGAAGGTAATACTTGTTTATTGTGATTATAGTATTATTGCAATTCCAAAGTTTGGGGTCAATACGTGCTTTTCATATAAATTAATATATTTATTCATCAAGGATGTTAATGAAGTGACAATAAAATTATTTATATTATAAAAAAAAATCATTTACAAGTTGTCAAAAAAATCTTATATTTCTTACAATTTTTTTTTTACAATTTTTAAAAACTCCATTTAAACTCCATCTAAAAATCTAAATGTTTACTTTTTTTACTTTCTAGCTGTCAAAGAAATGTGGATTTTTTTTCCCACAATTTCCATAAAAATATTAAGCAGCACAACTGTTTTCAACTGTGAACGAAAGAAATGTTTAAGGACCATTTGAATGATTTCATCAAGTATTTTTCATTATTATATACAATATTATGGGTAGTTTTGTTTAATTCCATAAATCCAACCTGGATACACATTCTTTTAAAACACGTATCAATCCCAATTTTTAAAAAGTTAAAGGATTAAATGTTTCCCTACCCAACGAGGACTGTTTATTGTGCAGAAGGTAATTATTGTTTATTGTGATTGTAGTTTTATTGCAATTCCAAAGTTTGGGGTCAATACGTGCTTTTCAAAAAAATTATTCAATTTTATTAATCAAGAAAGTTAATGAAGAAAAAAATCTACACTTTTTTCACATACTAGTTGTCAAAGAAAACTTACATTTCTTGTAAGAAATTCTCATTTTTTAAAATTCTATAAATCCAACCTTGGTACACCTTCTTTAAAAAATTTTTTTAAACGTATCAATCCCAAACTTATAAAAAAAAGTAGTTAAAAAGGATTAAATGTCCTACCAAATGAGGACTTTTTATTCAGTGTAATGTACATTCTTCAATGTTGTTTTAAGCTAATATGTACAAATGAATTGCTATGTTAGCATTTAAATAATGTATTGACCAAATTGTAAAATAAACACTCATTTGTATTTGAAAATGCTTTAAAAGGAATTTATATAGTCATTTTTAGGCCTGTAACATAATCAGTCTATCGACTTATCGCACAACACATGGACTTGACCTCAATCATTTTTGGTGACGCAATATATATCGCCCATGGATTAAAAAAAAAAAAAAAACAATTCTAGCAACATTGTGTTGTCTCGGAGGTGTCAGTGTCAGTATACTTAAACAACGCTACAATATTTACTATAAATTACTATAGTATATTTTATGTGGCTGTCTGAAAACTGAAAATAGATCTGATAGCAGATATCACAGCCTTTGCTACTTTTACCTAGCACTTTCACATTCTGATATCAATGCCTAAATAATAAATTATTAAAATAACTATAATTAAATGAAATATTCCTAAAAATAAAATATTAGTGTTCTTTGAAAGAGTGTACTTGCATTGTGACGATATTATATTCTCATTCTGTTTTTATATGAGTGGTATATAATTGTCTTAAAATGACAATAATATCACTTAATTGCAATATATTTTGGTTTAATACATAGTACAACAAAAAAAAAATAGATATCATGAAAGGCCTAGTCGTTTGAGCAAAATAGTCCCATTGGGCAAAGAATTAATATATATAAATCAACTCATTCAGACAGTACATATACAATGAGAGTCGAAGAACTTGAACACTGACCCAAAATGCAAAGCTGCATCAGAGTCTGCCATGAACCAGGCAGGCCTAACTGTTTAACCACAGAGCCACGGCGCAGACTTGGCGGGTGTGTTCGCTAAAGAATCTGGGTCTGTAACATAACTACAGTACAGTGCCGTTTGTTGACTTACTGTGACACAGAAGATACAAAGAACCACTCAAATCTTTTTGTTTGTTTATATATAGAGATTAAAATCAAATATTTAGTTCTGGGCATTACTAGACTATTAACTGTGACATGGATAAAAAAAAAAAAAGTCCATCAATACCTCTTTAAATGAGCACTGACGCCCTTTAAGGGAATGTTTGAATGATGGGAGTGAATGATATGAATGGGATGCTTGGAATTTCATCACAATTAAGTAAGAGTAAAAACATCTCCATCTCAAGTTATTTATAGGAGTTACAAAGAAAACACAAAGAAAATGTGTACACATGTTTTTCTTTGTATTTGATATTGCACCACATTAAATAAAAAGGCATTTTATATAAAACAGCAATTACGACAAAATTCCCAGGCACTAATGAAACTCAGTATCATAAATACTAAAATGCACATCGAAAGAACACTTGAGTTTGGCTACATTACAAAATGCGTGTGAAGTAGATAGCAGTGCACCATAATAAGCCAAGATGTGTACAGTATCAAAGGCAAAATAACAGGCAACATTGTTTTGCACAATCACATTAGTGTAGAAAGTTTTTGTTCCCGTTGTCACTATGATGCGATGCATTTAAGACCTGCTGTATCTAAAACGCACTTAAACCTGTTGCAATTTCATAGGGAGACCACAGTGGGGCCCCACTATCATTGAAATGACGTTTATGGTCAGTCAGTGTATGTAAACATATGCAAAATTTAAGCAAAATGAAAATGATGTCATTATTTGCTCATCCTGCTGTTGTTACAAATCTACAAAGATACAAGTTTATCACATGAAGCAATTGTGTCCCCTCAGAAGACCTGGATTAAACTGCTGCTTATGAATGTTTTCAAGCATCAATGAATTCTTCATGAAAGCTTTGATATTATATGTTTAGACTCTATTTGTTTTCCAAAGATGAGATTTGAAACAACATGAAGTAGAAGAAATGTTGACAATTGTACATTTGTGACTTGTACAATACTTGTTTGATCCAATGTCATGCAGATAAACAGATTTAATGTACACATTGGTTTTCTAATGCTCATACTGTAACTTAACTCACTGAAAGAGCATGCAACTGATATCCTACTTTTGCTATATTGCACAGAAAAGGCAATTAGTTTCCCCAGTGTTTACAAGCAATACACAGTAAGTTAAAGCTGAAACTACACCATCTATGCTCAAAACGAGGGCTGCAAAATAAGCTTGGTTGAGAACATTCTGCTTAAAACACATTCAGACGTGAAATAAATAATAAATACTCACATATTTTAGAGAAAGAAATACTGACGATGAAGGAAATCAGTAGTGTCGCTTTCACTTGAAATGATAGAGAGAGCTAACTAGTATTATTTGAGATCCATTTAATTGGTTTTCAGCGGTTTTAGGTGTTCCTGACTCTCCTACCGTGATGCGGTATGACCATAATAAAACTGCTCATCAGGTCGAAAGCCATAAGCTGTGGCGGGACGTGCTGAATTCACGCCGGTCTGTCCATAACCGTCTGTCAAAGAACTGGAGGGAAAGAGAAACGGACAGCTGTCAAAACCATAAACCATGTTCAAACCTAATTCATTAAAAATGGCTTGTAAAAAGGTAAGATAAATGCTGCAGGCATCACAAGGTGGCGCTCTGATTCTGCAAACCAGATGAAAACAAACTGCCTCAAAACTACACACCAAAATAAATGAACATTTTCACACCAGAGTTGGTTACAAATGAATTACAATTACTTAATTACATTTAAAAACCAAGAGAGTTAAATTAATTAATTAATACAAATGGGCAAATTGATAAATATTGTGTATTACATTACTTTAAAATTTATTTATTTTTAACAATATGATGTGATGTATTATATAATGCATGATATACTGCGAGGCACTCCCCATGTCACATTTTTTCCAAATAAATTAATTCCAGAAAAAATCTATTGTGATTAATCACATCCAAAATAAAATAAAATAAAAACATTTGTTTTGACAAAATTTAAATGTGTGTACTGTGTATATTTTATATTGTATATATAAATACACACATCCATGCATATATTTGAAAAAAAAATTTTAATTTAAATATAAAATGTATGTGTATTTGATGCAAATGATGTATAAATTGAAATAACTATGTAACAAAATTGTTTTGTATAGTTTTGTTTTTATAATATAAACATAATATAAATACAATTCTTCAATATAAATATATATAAAACACAAACAAATATATTATGTCAAAACAAACTTTATTTTGTATGTGATTAATCCTGATTATTTTTGTCTAGCACAAGTGTTCACCAATTAAAAGGTTTCAACATTTATAACCATGAAAAGGATATATTAAATAACATATGTTGTTATATTCATCACGGTGAAAAAGCAATTGGAACATGCCACATATTTAGTTTGTATAACAATCAGTCAATCGATCAATAAATAAATAAATAGAATTGTATGTAATATCTTGATGCAATTGGCCAATGGGATCATGTCACACGAGCTGAAATAGATAAACTAGTATAATCCGCCTCTTAATTAACAACACACACTCATAACTGTGGCCTGTCCTCTTAAAATATGAGTTGTTTGCTTTACCCCTTCCAGCTCCCATAATGCTGTGTTGTTTTTAGACCAAATCATTTCCAGCGATCGGTTTCATGTGTTTCTCCCGCCCTCTCCGGGCAGCAAGCCTGTCTTTGCTCTCTGAGGAACATCACTGCCCGTCTGGGGAAATTTCAGACTCTGTTAAAAGGCTTGAGGAGAAAAGGCTGGATGTCGGAGAGTTTGGGTGAAACCGAAGCTTGTAACTAACATAGTATGTTGAAAAGATTTGATGGGGTTGTAGGTTAGGTGATCAATCCAAAGAGTGTCCAGGTAAGAGACGAGCCTTAAAAAATGTGTTTGTGTTACAGTACAATGATCGTCATAGTGAATCATTCATTCAAAAGGGATGCAGTCATCCTTTCTAGGAAAACTAAAAATGTGAAGTCTTCTTTCGGTTATACAAAATATGACGTTTCTATTTCTATTTTTTTTGTATCTATGTTGTTTATTTGTCTAATAGTTTAACCTAAAACAAAGTAATTAGTGATAGAAGTAATGTTTGGCTTTCTACATTGTCATTATTTTTACACTTGAAAAACCAAACAGCACGTTTGGTGATAATCTGAAGATCTGAGGCTGGATGGAAATAAGATGCCCAAGTCTGGCCCCAGTTGCCCTTGACAGTTAACACTGAGGTGAGACTGTGTAAAAAAAACGCCGGAAACTTCTAAACAGGAAAGAATCAAAGTTGCCCTTCCTTTGGTGACTAAATAGTGAAAAGAAATTGTTCACCATTGTGCATATACAGTATGTTATTAGTAGGGTCATACAGAATTTGTGACCATTTTTTGCTATTTCTGCAGAGAATTTTGTAAAAAAATCTGCGGATTTATATGGAAGGATTTTAGAAGTATCATTACTAAAAATTTAATATATATAATATATTTCATTTACAATCATCATTTACAATGCAAATCCAATTAGATCCACATATTTTCTAAACAAAGCAAGTCTTTTGTATAATATATCTACTAAAAGACAGAAAATATTACTTTACAAACTGTATTGTGAATAAATCATAAAAAGCTTTTAAAATTACTCTTATTATATCACAATAATATTAGTGAGATGAATTAAAAAAGTGAATAAATATACATTTAAAATTGTATAATTTGTATAATTGTATAATATAAATTGTAAACATGTACATATATCAACCCATGTGTTATCTGCCAAAATGATGCTCGAGGTTTTCTCAGAGCTGCCTTTAATTATTTAGCCATTTGTTCTATTACTTTAAACCAACTGGTCTGCATTAGTGAATATATAAAGTCAGCTCCCCATAAGTTCACCCAGGTGTCCCGGCAGAGCAACCACAGGTGTAGTTCATCACATTAACTGAGGACTTGTTACATAACATTTGTCAACAGAAAGTATCCAAAGAAAAGTCAAATAAACAAATGACACCTGGTTCAATGCTCTTTAAAGCAATGAGATATAAATATTTTCTCTGACTTAAGTGTTTAAGAACTTTTTTATGGCAACTGCGCAATTTGTGCTATAAATAATGTTTACGTAATCGTAGTTTTAAATTGATTTATTTTCCTTTAACATATATTATTAATTACCTCAACGTGACTTTTGTATAATTATATGTATTTTATTTCCTTAAATGCAGCCAAGAATTTGTGTTTTTCAACCTCTTTATGAGTTCTTTATGAGCTAAATGAAAGATTGCTTTTTGTGAATCTATAAATACAAGCAATTCTATTTAAGGGCTTTTAAAAGAGCTGTTCCCAGCGTGTCTGGCTCCTGGCTCAGCACAGGGGAACTGAGGCTGGATTTCATTATTGTGTTAACCTGGATCTCTAACACCGCACGGACAAAATGAAAACCACACTTTCAGGCCGCCCAATTCCCTGTGCGCTCTCGGTGTATTCTATAGGTATCGCTTTCAAAGAGCTGTGATAAAATAAAAAATACAAAAAAAGCATGGCTTCCTCTGTTGCCCATATTCACTTGCTCCTTATTTTTCAGCACCTCTCTTCTGACTTCATGATAATGTATATGTTTTCCCCTTTGCAGGCTGATGAATAATTTAAAAAGCTCTAACTGTTGTTGGATCCAAGTATTTTCTTTGTTATTTTTACACTAACGTTTCGATGGACTCATTCTAGTCATCATTAATGACCCCATATCAAATAATCCCCTCTGTGATCAATGTGTTGGAAGCTCAAATATTTTTCACACAAAGTGGGCCGCGCCATAAATCATATTATCAAGTCATCACATTAGTGCTTTGCTGAAACCCCTAAACAGTAGGTGTATGGCAACTGAAGCAGATTTGGAAAAGGCTAAATAGAGGGAGCTGTGTTTACTCTCAAAGCTGAGGGTATTGCTGTTGGAGGACTGCTGTGGCCTGCTGGGATGCCGGAGGACCCTTTTGACGCAGCACTTTGGGCCCTGCTCTGCTTAAGGCAACAAAACTGGAAGACAAGGATGTGTGTGCGGCGCAGAAATAACAGAACCAACACATCCTCTGCAGCCAGCCTGACTGATTCATCATGTTTAAATATACCTGCTGGGGAAGCCCTGCTGTCCTAATAGGTCTCCATTCTGATAGTCGGTGAAGAACTCTGGACTGATGGCACCATCTGCTGGGATTATTCCATCTGCAGGAATCACAAAATAGCTATTACAAATTACAGCCAGAAAGAAAATGCATCATAACTATTTCTTATTCAATTAAATTCAATTCATCTTGATGTATATAGCGCTTTTACAATGTCGATTGTGTCAAAGGAGCTGAACATAGAAGTTCTAGTAAATTGAAACTGCGTCAGTCCAGTTTTCAGAGTTTCAGTGTAGTTTAAATTTCACTGCTAAAAGTCCAAACACTGAAAAACAAATTAATTGATAGGCATCTCTACAAGTCCCAAACCAAGCAAGCCAGTGGTTTATAATCAGATGTCGAAACTATTCATATAATATGTAGGTACTAGTTAATTAGTTAATTTAAGTTATTAACAACCAATAAATTCATAGTAACTAATAACCTTAACTTTTCTGATTTTAATTGTAATGCAATAATTTGCACCTTTTGTAAAGCTGCTTTGAAACAATAGTTATTGTAAAACGCACTTTACAAATAAACTTAAATAGAACTGAATACTATAGAAACACTAAATAAAATCAATGATTTATATATATATATATATATATATATATATATATGTATATATATATATATATATATATATATATATATATATATATATATAGGAATCATATTATGCTCTTTGTTTTTATGTTGCCAGAGTATTCAAGGTACAAGAAACAACGATGGTGTGTTTTCAATGCATCTTTCGTTCAAAAGCTGCACTGCAAAAAATGCTTTTCTTACTAAGAGTTTTGGTCTTGTTTCTAGTCCAAAAATATAAAAATATTCAAATCAAGAAGCTTTTTCTAGAATATTCTGAAAATAACAATCTCTATTTTTCTTACCCCACTGGCAGATTATTTAGCTTGTTTTAAGGAAAAACACACTTCATTTTGAATTAATATTTCTTAAAACAAATATTTTCAGCTAGTCTAGAAAATGCTTCTTGATTTAGGAAATTTTAGATATTTGCAGTAGAAACAAGACAAAAACTCTAAGTAAGTAAAGCATTTTTGCAGTGTGCATATTTATTAATCAACACTACACACATTCAAACACCCTTTTCACAGGAACTACTTTATTAAAATCCCTGCCCAGTATAACCTGCACTGTAGAAGAGGTCTGGCCGTTCCAGGATGTCACCATTTTGGAGGAAAGGCTCTCCATCATCTCCATACATAAAAGGCTCTGCCTCATCCATCTGCCGGTTCTCCACCATCTCAAGCCACTGTGAGTTATGCCAACGAAACTTCTCACTTTGGATCTTCTTGCCCCACTCCACGTCATATTCCTACAGACAGAAGTATTAGCACAGGGCACAGAAAGGCTCTGCCTGTACTGCCTCGCTGCATGCGCTATACCAAATTCATGGGATGAATCAGGTGCGCTGTGTTCCTTGGCAGAAGGATAACATGGTAGCTGTTTATTTTAACTCAACAGGGACGGAGTGTAATAAAACCTCTTTGAGGTTGGTGGAAATAGCTAAGCTAAGCAGCCCAGATCTCTGATTAATCATCCCCACATGGGGTGGAAGCCCTGGGGTTCTGACAGTCACCTGAGGTCTAGGCCTCAACCAAGCCTTATTGTCACCGGCAGGCACAGTGACACCTTTTGCCAATGCACAAATTCATCATTGTGAAGCATTAAAGACTCCCACAGCTAATCAGAGCAATGAATGTGGTCCGATGCCCTGGCTAATCAATCTTCAGTTGGCTGAGCTCATGACGTTACTGAACATTTGGAACAGTTGGGTGTTTTATAAACAAATCTGGTGAAAAACTCTCAAAGCCTATCCAGAAATAGCATGTAAAAATCAATTATGTATTACTTCTCCTGTCTTGGTTAAAAATCATTGCCATGAAGGCAAAAACAAAATAGAAAAAACTTTTTAATAAGAAAAACTGATTTTAATATTTGTATTGAAATAGTAAAGAAATGTACTGCATGTGAATCTGTGCTATTCAGCAGATCTGTGTTCTATCCTCAATTGCCCACGTGACACTAAGCAGGCATCTCTTCCTCTCTCTTTGATGTGGCTTACAGCTTTAATGGCCTTTTCCGATCAGATGTATGGAACACTTCCCTTGGCCTCAAGACCAGCCCTAATTGCATTAATCTGAGGCCTGGGACAGATCACATATGACAGAGCTGCTTCAGGACAGCTTAAACATTTAACCCGATAGCAAAGGTATTCAATCCAATAGTCTTTCATGTCAACTGACCCTGACTACAAACCACATGTGTCATATTTATCATTAGCAATGAAGTGCTGATTTTATTAGGTAGCTTTGAATAGGCACGATGATCTCCATCATAAATTACTCAAAAGAAGAAGGAAAAAAAGTTTGAGTCGGTTCTTTACAGTGATTCTGTAACAAATCTATTACATTTACTACATTTAACAAAACATTAAATGGAAAAGATGGGCCGCAGTTTCCATTCTGTGCTTAAAATTGTTTGGAGTAAAGATCTAAATTGTACATTTAGCAATGAACATTTGACGAAAATTTGCCAAAACTGTAAAGTAATGTCAAGAAAAATAGTAGTACGCTTATTACAACTTAAAATTTTGAATCATTTTTATTGGACTCTGAGTAGGCTTTTCAGGCTTGGGTTGCTGGACTCTGCTGAATCCTGGAGATGTGAGAGTAAAGAAGGATACTTAATGCATGTCCTGTGGTTCTGTTCTAAAATACAGGAATTCTGGGTTAAAGTGCACAATTACAACCATAATTTTTCTTTCGTTTTGTCCTAAATTATTTGTACTGGGAGACCTGTTCTTATTGGGGTCTGGTGTAAAGATTCAAATAAGCATTATGATTTGTAGACAAATCATTATGAGGGGACAGTGTTCAGCAGGTCCACCATCATTTCAAGAATGGGTTACGAAATTGGGGAAGGTGGCAGCATATGAAAAAATGACATATAGATAGGAAAACTATTTGTAATTTTTGGAGGATGAATAAGGTGACTGTGGTGAGACGCATGGTAAATTTGACTTACTTATTTATTTATTTATTTATTTATTATTGCATTGTTTTTATATTTATGTACTTTTTACTATTATTATATTCTGTATGTGTGCTTTGTTATTTATTGAGTTTATATCATTTATCTGTATTTACTGGATTTATGATAGTAATATCTAATTATAGTAACTGCCGCTCTTGGAAAGGGAGGGAAAGGGTGTGTTAAAAGAATGTAAAAATGTGTAAACTGATGGTATTGTTAAATTGTTGAAGAAAATAAAAAATTGAACAATAGAAATTTAACAAAACTTTAAAAAACCTGTTCTAAAACTTTTAAGAATAGTTTTTCTTATTGCTTAATTTTTTACGTAGCTGTAACCAAACCCTAACCTAACCTGATTTTGTCTTATGTCAACATAATGTAAGATTTAAGACAACTAAATCTATGATAGACTGATATATATTATATTATATATTGTTATATGTGCATTCAAGCTTTCTCATATTTTCAAGTAAACGTATTTATTTGTATAAATAAATATAAAACGTTTTTGTTTAGTTTTATCTGTAAAATCACATTACAATTAACTATTCTAAAAATTATGTTAATAAACTGAAGTGTTAACAGACCTATTGCCCTTAACAGATGCTATTAGATAAGTTAACAGATGTTACCAATTAACTGTAATAAAGCAATTACTTATTATTTTAACAGTAATACCTAAAATAAGTACATCTATAAAAAATATATAAATAAAATCTAATAATTTTTAAAAGCAAAAAATAATAAATTTTAATAAATAATAAAAAGGGAAAAAATGAAAAAATAAAATTAATATTAATATTAATTAAAATTAAATTTGATTAAATCACAAAATAAATTACAATAAATACTGGCCTAAACAATTGTCCTACCAGCAGCCCGTTTTTTATGATTTCTAAAAAAATTCATAAACTCTTTGTGCACAATCTGTGTGTTTTTTCTCCTCAATCATGCCAATTTTGAACACTGCGACTTTTTTTGTGATAAATCCCCATAAATATTTAAATCTTTGCCCACTGACACACAAACCAACTCTCTTCATATCTCAAATGTTTACGTGAATGAAACAGCACACCACTAGACACATAAGATTCCTACTCACAGCAATGATGTCCAACGTATTGTCACACACTTTGCGTATTTCTGCATTTTTGTCATGCATCAGGTCAATGAGATATGCTGGAGCCTCTGAAAAGTTAACCGTCAAAGAGAAAAACTTGGACAGCGAAATCGCTGTATGACTGAACAACACCATCATTAAATAGCAGCAGGTTTTTATGAAATAAAGGATACGCGTTTCTTTTATGATGACATCTCGTGTGGCTTGGTGAAACACCATTTGGTAAAAGACGTACACGATCTGACAGACAAACTCATCATCTTCTTGCTGGGCTGAGGATGGAAAGACAAGAGAATGTTCTCTAACATGTCACAAACAACTATGAAACTGGCATTCCAAGCATCTGAATGTCTCTTACCATTCAGCAGTTCTATTAGAGCAGGAATGATGCCTGATTTGGCCAACATTACGGCACAAGAGTCATCCATGGATACAGTGCCAATCATGATTACCACCTCCAGAATGAGATCATCCTCTGCGGAGCCTAAAGCAGTAAATAAATGGGAAGTTATAGCCAAATGTCAAACTCCCTGACTTTTATTGACTAAAAAGCTGAATTTCCACAGGTTCAAATGAAAGAAAGAACAAGGCGTTTTTGTGTTTTGTTTAATGTAAAAATAGTTTGAGCTCGAATATCTTTTTTTATTAAATTAATAGCCATTATGAGAGCAACAATAAATAATTTACCTCAAATTTCGAAAAATTTATAAAAAGAAACAAGAGCATACAGTCTTTGAAGTGGTCATTTTTAGCCAAAGCTTATGAAATTTACATTTTCCTAACATGTTTGCCTTGGACTACGTTTACACGACAATTATGTAGGCAAAAGCTGAAAAGTTTTCCTATTGTATTTTAAAAATTTTCAACATTTTTTAAAACAGTGTTTAAAAAAATGCTGCAATGCATATGCCAGGCCAGCATTTGGCATTGTGACCTTGTTAGTAAACAGAATCAGTAGGAAAGTGACAACTTGTGGCTTGGCGCTGATGTGTATCTAGAAATATTGTGCGTCCAAGATCTTTCTCCGTTGTTGATATTAATGTGATCTAAATCCACACTTTGCTGATAAAGCATTAGCAAACAGTTGAGAAGAAACAACAACACTACCACATACTCCACCATTGTTGTGTATTTGTTTCTGTTTACCTTTAATCTATACCACCCTAAACACGTGCTGTGCACACCCGTGATGCCAATGTTTCAAAAGACTCTGTAACAACATTGTTTTCAAAAGCTTCCACTTTTTGAAGCCCATTTTAAGATTTATGTATTTCAGTCACAAAAATGCTGTTGTCGTCTAAACAAACAGGCAAAACGCATGAAAATTAGCAGTTTTGGTTAAACATTGTCATGTAAATGGCCTCTTAGTTAACTGGTAATGTTTGATGAGTTGGAAAGGAACAAAAAATACCAATAGACCAAACTTGTGAAACAATGTAATATTTAAACAACAGCTATTTGGTACAGAAAATTAACATTTTCATTAATGGACACTAAAACCTAAAGCGACAATTAAAAAATCCTGACCCTGAGATTCTATGGTTTGGACAAAAGAATATAAAATTTCATGATATTTCAGAAATTCCATGACCTGTGGGAACCCTGCATATCACAAGATCTTGCAACTTTCCAATGTAAAGTAAACATTTTTTTACCAGGTTTGAGGTGGTCTTTGAGATAAGGCACCAGGTTGTACTCCTTTAGCACAAGTTCCCAGTCAAGATCAGGAATGGTAAGATTGGAAAGCGTTCCCAAGCACTCAATCACAAACTCCTCTTCTTCCTTCAGTCCAATCTGAGCCGCCAGGTCACCAACATAATCCTCAAAAACAATCCATGTTTATTAGTTTTCAAAGAAGCAAATCTCAATACAATAAATCCAGCTAACATCAGTCGTATATTTAAGTGTATTTTCCATTTTGATTCTTACAATGAAAAGATTTTTTGACGGTCCATCATGCTGAGATATATTACGAATCATCTTCATCATCAGAGGATCCTTTAGCTTAAGTGCTCTCTTCATCAGCATCTTCAGACCGTTGCCTTGAAAAGAAGCATCAAATTAAGTAGGATCTTCTATGTTTTTAGGTTGTGCATTTGTGCATATTCTTACCTTCACACATGATCTGGGTGTTCCTCCTGTTGGCAGCCAGGTTGATGCAGAAGGAAATGAGCTCAGCATCAATCCTCTCCTCACCACAGTCAAACAACATCTTCATTACCTGACAAATGACACATGAAGAAATGACTAAATAAAACAAACATTCAAAACACTTGTACTGTGGCTTACTCAATATCATTGTCCACAGTACCACACAATCTAGTTTGTTATGTCTACATGCAGTAAAAAATTATATGAAAAATGTTTTTATGCTACTTTAACTTTTTTCAATAAGTTAATCAGGTTTAATGTATTTTATGTCAGTTTGACTTAAGTATGTTGAGATGACTAGAAAAGTTCATTTGGTTCAACTAATAAAATGTTGCAATATATTTCACAGAGCATGTATTTTGTAGAACTACCACATATTTTTCCCCCCTCTTTCATGTTCACCAAAGCTGCCATTTTTATGCATTTTTATGTTTTTTTACCATTTATTTCAAAAATGTCTTTTTTCTCATAGTGGTAAAGCTAATGTTCCGGCACACCTAGAACACTAATCAGACTCGTCTTTGTCCCACAAAAAAAATCTGACAGACCAGAAACATACTTTCCAAACTCCCAAGCCCAATTTGTAAGTTCCCCAGACGTCCAGGGGTTTCTGATTTTCTCAAGCGGATCCCAACTTTAGACACGAACCCGATGTGTCACTTTGCGTTAGTATGTGACCAGAGCTGAGTGGAACAGAGGACTGGACTCTGCTACCTGAGGGGACGTAGGGGTCCAGGAAAGGAGCTCAGAGGGGGAAGGGGACCGGGCAGAAGTCCAGGTCCAGGTTGAAGTGGTCAAGGGTTGTCAACATTGCCCCCTGACGTTAACGATAAGCAGGAGGCCTGAGCTTGGTCGGTGAGGAGGTAGCGGTGAGTATGCAAAGCATACAGTCCCATACTGAGTATCACATGGCAGCCGCCCTGCAGCCTAAATCACTGTGGCTAGACTTACTGGCACCTGCCCTGCTTTCACATGCAACATTCAGTCGCCCCACCAAAACCTTGGCAACCCCCAGCCTGCAGTGGCCAGATTTTCATCTCTCTAGTCATCCAATTCAGCCATGAAGGGCACATCTATTTCCTCCTATCTTAAACTTCAATGTCTGATTCCTATTCTGTATGAACGCCTCAAATCTCTAATCTGCTTCTAATTTAGAATTACAATTAATTTTAGTTTTTCATAACACACACATACTGTTCTGACCATTAGCATCATTCCATGAGAAAGACAAGACTGACAGTGAATTATTTGCTGTCGATGCTAATACAGTTGAAGGTTAAATTAATAGCCTTTTTATAATTATTTTCATTCTTTTTCAAATATTTCCCAAGTGATGCTTAACAGAGCAAGGACGTTTTGCACAGGACTTCCCATCATAATTTTCTTCTGAAGAAAATACTTTTACTTTGGCTGGAATGAAAAATAAACACTTCAATGTTATTAAGCCCTTAACTTACTACAAATTATTGTTGTCCAATTACTCGCCAAGTGAACCGTACTTGCCTAGTTAACTTAACTGAAGCCTAAAATTGCACTGAATAAGCTGAATACTAGTATCTTGAAAAAATAACTAATAACATATTAAAGAACTGTCATCATGCCAAATAAATTATTTATTACAAATTAGTTAGAAATTAGTTTAAACTATTATGTTAACTAAATGTGTTGAGAAACAATCCATTAAACAGCACTTAGGGAATATTTAAAATGAATTAAAAATTAGAAAAATAATACAAATTTCACAGTAGGGCTAATAATTTTGTTGATCTTTTTTCTACAACTTTGTTTCATTATTATCACATCTCAATAAAAGCGGCCTATAATTTTCATAATTTTCCCCATGAGATGTTACTAAATTAATTTATTCATTTTCTTTTTGGCTTAGTCTCTTTATTAATCGGGGGTTGCCACAGTGGAATGAACCTCCAACTTATCCAGCATTTGTTTTACGCAGCGGATGCCCTTCTAGCTGCAACCCATAACTGGGAAGAACATCCATACACACTCATTCACTCACATACACTAGACAATTTAACCCACTCAATTCACCTGTACCACATGTCTTTGGACTTATGGGGGAAACCGGAGCACCCGGAGGAAACCCACGCCAACACAGGGAGAACATGAAGACTCCACACAGAAAAGCCAACTGACCCAGCCAAGGCTCGAACCGACGACCTTCTTGCTGTGAGGCGAACATGCTACCCACTGCGCCACCGTGCATATTAATAAAATACTATTAATAAACAGTTTCTATTAATTCAATCGCCCATTGTCAACTATTCATTTTATAGCACATTTTTAATTAAAATAATGTTTACAAAAATAATCACATTTGATCAGTGAGTGACACTAACATTGTACAATAAATCAAAGAAATTCCATAATATTTAATGCAAAACATCACAACACAATGAGATACAGACTTTAAACTGTTCTGTATGAGCATAGGCTAATTCTGACAACAGTACAAACAAATTTAAAACTTCGACGCATTCAATGTACTGTATAAGACCTGAATATGCTTCTGCAAGAGAACAACAGGCACATCTGATGTATAAAGAGCATGACAGGGCGGTTATAGAGCTCTCCTGTCCCCTGCTATAAACTCATGCTAATGCAGGCTGACCTCTCACCTGTGGAATGCAGTCTGTGTAGGCAAACATGGACTTGAAACGGTCATCCATGCTGATGTGGTAGAGAATGCGCATGGCAATCTGTCTCTGCGCTTCGTCTCCTGAAACACAAACATATGCAAGCCATGAATAGACAGACACACTGAAGTATTGAGTATTCAAAGCAGTCAGAATTATACCTCCTTTAGTAGAAACCTACAGTAGGATAAAGAGGAAATCATTAATATGCTCACCAAAGATCCTGTTTTAGTTCATGAATGTCCAAGTATTACAGAATCAAGGCCAATTTGTGCTAAAGAGATTTATGAAATAAGGTACTGTATATACAAAAATATCTTACATTTTACAATGATCAAAAACAGTAACAAAACAGTTTTTTTGTTTTACTCTTTTTTTTATTGAACATTTTGATTTTGAACAAAGCCCGAGATTAGCCCAACAAAAAAAGTAAAATAAAATAAAAACAGTAATAAAGTAAGAATTAATACAAAATCAGGATTGAAACATATCTGATTCAGTCTTTCTCATATTCAACCAAAATTGTACCGTTTTTTTTTTACTGATACCATTTATTTTGGATGTGGTGTATTTCAAACTAATAATATCCAGTAGACAGAGCCTCCAGGATAGATCAGCCGGAGCAGATGGGTCCAGCCATATTTGGAGGACTGTTTTTTTTTTTGCAGCAGCAGTCAGAACAACTGACAGAACCCTTCTTTGGTTGATGGATAAAGAGAGTGATGAATTGTCCAGCATGAGAAAAAGCAATGAGTCACACTGGATCTGAGTTTCAATTAGCTCTGATAGACAAAGGCTTTTTACAAACAAAATAATATACATATAAAATTATTGTTAAGATTTCTCTTTAAATAAATATTATCCTTTTGTACTTGCTATTCATCAAATACATGGTCTAAAGAAAAAAATATGAGCAAAAGGTATTCAATATTGATAATAAGCTGTGATATAAATGTTTTAATAAATTGGCAATTTTCAATAAGAGAGTTATTACAAATGAGAAAAAGAAAATAAACCAGAATACAGTAATTTCACAAACAACAACAAAGATAAAACAAAACAAGCAAACAACAATTAATAAATTAATAAACAAATAAATTAATAGCAAATGACACCTAATTAAGCCATTACTGTTAAATGTCAGATATCAGACTATTACTTACAAATAAACACTCTTTTTAAATCAAAAAAAGTTTTTAATCATTCAAAAGCAAGAAAAAAAAAAGACAGATACAGACAGGGTTAGATATGTAAGATGGGTTATATACAAAAAAAAGCTATTTTTTTAAAAATACAACAGAAAAGGTTGTCAAACTGTATAGAAATCTTCTGATTTGCCATTAATTGCTTATCTGATTTTCTCTATTTAAATAAACTGCAACAAGTCATCCTTCCAATGAAAGTAGTTGGGCGGAAAAGGGTTTTTCCAGTTCAGTAGTATAATTCTTTTAGCCATTATTAAGCAAAAAAGCTAATACACTTGACTATGACAGCGATACATGAAGTCTAAACAGTGCCACTAAAGTACATGGTTCAATTTTTAAAAGAAAAATATCAGAGATTGATCTAGAAATTGATGTCCAAAAAGAAATTAACTCTGGACGAAACCAAAAAGGTATGATAAAGGGTAGCTAGAGCTTGTCGGCATCTGTTACGAATAGCATACATTTCTTGGTTTATTTTAGACAGTTTAACTTCTGTCCAATAAATTCTGTGTAATAGTTTAAACTGTAACAGTTAATGACAAGCACAGATAGAAGTAGTATGTACACGACAAAGAACTTTTGACCTTTTGACTTTTGATGCATATCTAATGCATCAGTTAGTGCACCACAAGTTTACATGAACAACTTTATATTCATTAACTAACATTAAAAACATGAAAAAATAATGTAGCTAATGTATTGTTCATTGCATTAACTAACATGAACTAATATAACCTTATTGTGAAGTGTTACCGAAATCTTTATGAAAGGTCATGTAAAAGATCTCACCTTTGGCATCAAAACAGGAATGTGTAAAAAACGTTCACAATCTTTCCTTTGAAAGTCAAAAAGTAAATTAGCAAAAAAAAAAAAAAAAATTTTTTTTTGCCTCTCCACTTTTTTTTTGGTTAAGATCTGGTGTTTTGTTTTTCTATGACCCTGAGAAAGTTTCCTTTCACATAGAAAAAAAACCTGTTTCTGTTAAGAACCTGAGCCTCCAACTTAATCAGGCAGACAGACACAAACCCGAGAGAGGGAAGAGGGGGCGTGGACGGGTCGGAGCCGGCCATGGACCCTTTAGGCAAGGTTATCTCAGCCTATTGGAGCCAGATGTGCTCCTCAAGACCCCTGAAAAGAGAAGGGCTTCTCGATTTAATTGGGGGAAAAAAGGAGGAAGCATAAATTTTACTGCCATTAATAACTTCAAGCCAAGCTGCTCTACACCGCTAGCACCGCGATTGGCCCAGACATGTGCTTCTCATTAGTGAAAGACATACACGAGCGTACCAACCAGCTCTAGTGCACACTCAGAGGTCAAGCGCAAACGCACACACACACCTCGAGTTAACGCCTCGGCCTGCGCGTCAGGAGAGGAAAACGGGGGATCCTTTATGAGGATGGAGGAGAAGGGCCTGTAAAAATGTTCAAAACAGCCCTGGAGCCTGAGAGAAAAAAAAGACCATTAAAAATTCATTATCCTGTTCAGGGTGCGTTTAGTGGGAGAGCAGGAGAGCTAAACTTCAATTACACCCCAGTAAGATTTAAACCACCCAACCACCATAAAAGCCACAGCAGCCAGGCCTTCAGGCGGCCACTACAACCCCAAACACCCATGTCCTTCAGAGCTGATCAAGACATTGAGCAAACACTAATGGTAAACATTAGAGATGGGGCAAGATAGTTGACTAGTCACCCAGCAACTGATTCAAGATAACAACTAATTATAGATGCATTTTTATTATTAGTTTTCTTAAAAACTATGGGTTCTTATTTGTAAGAAATTTTGGTCCAGCTTTAAAGTAAGTGGCCTTAATAATTTGGACTAACATCAGAAAAAAGCACAAGGTACTTATTGTGTTCATATACAGTGCATCCGGAAAGTAATCATAGCGCTTCACTTTTTTCCACATTTTGTTATGTTACAGCCTTATTCCAAAATAAATTAAATTAACTTATTTCCTCAAAATTCTGCGTATAATACCCCATAATGGCAATGTGAAAAAAGATTTTTTGAAATTGTTGCAATTTTTTTAAAAATAAAAAGCCTGAAAAATCGCATGTACAAAAGCATTCCAAGCCTTTGCTCAATACTTTGTTGATGCACCTTTTGCAGTAATTACAGCCTCAAGTCTTTTTGAATATGATGCCACAAGCTTGGCACACCTGTCTTTGGGAATTTTTGCCCATTGTTTTTTACAGTACCTCTCAATCTCTATCAGGTAGGATGGGAAGCGATGGTGTACAGCCATTTTCAGATCTCTACAGAGATGTTCAATAGGATTTAGATCTGGGCTCAGGCTGGGCCACTCAAGGACATTCACAGAGTTGTTGTGAAGCCACTCCATTCATTTTTTGGCGGTGTGGTTTGTGTCATTGTACTGCTGGAAAATGAACCGTCGCCCCAGTCTGAGGTCAAGAGCACTCTGAAGCAGGTTGTCATTCAGGATGTCTCTGTACAGTGCTGCATTCATCTTTCCCTCTATGCTGACTAGTCTTCCAGTTCCTGCTGTTGAAAAATATCCCCGCAGCATGATGCAGCCACCAGCATGCTTCACTGTAGGGATGGTATTAGCCTAGTGATGAGCGGTGCCTGGTTTTCTCCAAACGTAACGCTTGGCATTCACTCCAACTCTAGAGAATTTTGGTTCTTATGGTCTGAGAGTCCTTCAGATGTCTTTTGGCAAATTCCAGGTGGGGATTGGCTTCCGTCTGGCCACTCTACCATACAAGCCTGATTGGTGGATTGCTGCACAGATGGTTGTCCTTCTGTAAGGTTCTCCTCTCTCCACAAAAGAACGCTGGAGCTCAGACTGAGTGACCATCAGGTTATTGATCCCTTCCTTGACAAAGGCCCTTCTCCCCCGATCACTCAGTTTAGATGGCCGGCCAGCTCTAGAAAGAGTCCTGGTGGTTCCAAACATCTTCCACTTACGTATAATAAGACTGTGCTCATTGGAACTTTCAGAGCAGCAGAAATGTTTCTGTAACCTTCCCCAGCCTAGTGCCTCGAAACAATCTTGTCAAGAAGGTCTACAGTCAATTTCTTTTTCTTCATGCTAAGTTTTCACTTTGACATGCAAGGTCAATCCTGGGACCTTATATAGACAGGTGTCCAATCATCTGAATTTACTACAGGGGAACTCCAATTAAACTGCTGAAACATCTCAAGAATGAACAGTGGAAACAAAATGTACCTGTGATTTTTCAGTTTTTTTTTTATTTTATAAATTTGCAACAAATTTATTCATTTGTTCATTTTCTTATCGGTTTAGTCCCTTTATTAATTTGGGCGGGGTCGCCATATATTAATGTATTAATTTGGGGTTGCCAACTTATCCAGCCCGTTTTTTACGCAGCGGATGCCCTTACAGCCGCAACCCATCACTGGGAAATGCAACAATTTCAAAAAAACTTTTTTTCACATTGTCATTATGGGGTATTGTGTGTAGAATTTAGAGGGGAAACAATTATGAATTTAATCCATTTTAGAATAAGGCTGTACAGTAAAAAAAAAAAAAATGTGGAAAAAGTGAAGCACTATGAATACTTTCCGATATGGGATATATGTAGGAATAGGGACAGGTTTGAGGTATGGGTAGCTTTAAGGGTGGGTTAAGGCATAAAGAAAAAACAACAGTGAAATTATAAATGCAATTACAGATGTAATTACAAGCTAGTTTTTTTTTTAAATATTAGAACAATGTAAAAACATGTATCTACATAATAAGCGCATTGTACTAAATGATTGATTTAAATGTAAGTACTTAGTAATTAAGGCCAATTAATATAAAGTGGAACAACATTTTCTGTTACGGTTTATCTTTTTCCTAAAAAGATAAGATTATCTATATAAAAGTTTTATTTGCCTGCTACATAAAAGTTTGGTTTCATTTGAAATATTTAAACTTTCTTACAGGCATATTTCACCCCAAAATCGAACTTTGTTGTTAATTTACTCACAAAAACTCATACAAAAAGTAGTAACTTTAATTTCTTCAGCAGAAATTTAAAGATTATATTTTAAGCTGAAATTGGGTCATAGGTGTTTTTAAAGGCTAATGTCACTTTTAAAGTCAAAAAACAAAACAAAACTATTACCAAGAAGCTCATGTTCCTGATTGTGACCATAACCAAAACTGTTGGCTGAGGCTGTGAATTTAAGGTAATGTTCAATTTCTTCCACAGACTAACATTTTATTTCATAAGACCTTAAGGCATATTAATTTTGTTATGTTTTTTTACTCTCAAGGTGCCAGTAGTCATTTACTTGCGATTTATGAATTACCATTGACTGTGATTTTAGCCAAAATCATCTTTAAAGTTCTACAGAAGAAACAAATTTCACCTTGAATGGTCTGAGAGAAATTGCCAGCAACTTTAAGTTTATTGTTGAATTATCCCTTTAAATTAAGCCACAGAATTTATTGTATCAGAATTTATTGTTGAATCAAATTACAACAATATCTGCTAATGGGTTACAAAAAAAAACTTCTTGACCCTGTGAAGTTTTTTTTTTTATTATTATTTTCTAAAATATAAGCTTACTTTAGATTTTTTACTCCCTGAAAAACAAGACAACAATAATATGAATAAAAATCATCACGTTTTGCAGTGTGGAGGAAGAAGGAGTTGTCAATCCCAGTCTTTTAGTTCTGCAATAAGTCATCAAGAAGGTTCAACTGAATGCCAAACTTCACTTTCATCTTATCAGCAAGGTCGTGACCCTAAAAGGGTCTTTTGGGAGGAGCGGATAGGAGCTCACTTGAAGATTCATGAGGCATCTGCAATACTCTGACAGCCCTGGATGTCGCGTTCGTACAAAGCAGACCAGATAAAAGCAGAGGTTCTTAAAAAAAATACTTAGAAAAACATTATATCGTCCATGCTCATGCAAAGGACCATTAGCTCTTTGGCAGCCAGTCCAAAGTGTTCACAAAGAATGAGTTAGTTGTGCGTGTCTGCTGGAGAAAGAAAATCTCAATAAGCCGCTAAATGTAGACTTCCCTCATTCTGAAAGAACAACATTTACTCTAGAGCAGAAGGTGTTTCTTTAACAAATATATTACGTTAATTGTATGGGACACACGACACCCCCCTTGGGGCCTTACAAAAAAACACATTGTTGCTGCCAAAGCCAACCATGCCTTTACATATAGTCCATACACCAGTTTGTTTCATCTAAGGAAGTGGTCTTTGAAAGAGAGGACAGAACCAGACTGTAACTGCTTTATGAGGCTGAGAAGACCTTGCATCCTCAAACTCAACATAAATGACTGGTAGATTTTTCTATAACTTCCGGTGCCTCAATATTTGCAACAAAGCTGACAATAATTTGTCTTGACAAAAATTGGAACTTATAACATAGGTTAAATAGAGCCTTGTAATTTCCCAAAAACTTGGATTAAAATCTGGTTCCCAAAATTGTTGTAATATTCTACCCAAATATATTCTTTGTGTCCTGTCCTCTCTTTACTATCCGTATACTGCAGATACAAAACAAAAGAGTTATGAAATAGTACTAATAAAATGTCTATAACTGTTATTTATATAGTCTAAAAAATTCAGACTTAAAATAGCATAGCTTTAAAGTCTGTATAAACAGTGGGAAAACAGAGGGAGTCGCTTGTTTTTTTTTTACTGCAAAATGATTGGATGTATTAAAGTAGGCATTTCATTCAGAAAGCTCGGGAAAAGGGTTTCTGAAGAGTTATTACAAACTAACAGCCTCCTCCTCCTCACCCATTCTGTTCTCAAAACTCACAGATAGAGGACACTTTTTAATTGTTCACCACAAAACTAGCAATGTAAGCTAACAAAATCAATATGGTTAGTTTTGATTTCATGTGTACTTTAAATAGAAAAAAAAGCTCTTTATAAAATAAAATAAAAAATAAATAATACATAAATAAATATTGACAAATATGTAAAAAAATTTTTTTTTAAATAAATTAAATTAAAATAAATAAAAAAATACAAAAATTAATAAAATAAATGCTCACAGCGAAAAGCAGTTGTTATTGGGATTTCCAAAAAAGATGTGCTCTTCCAAAACACTTGCATGAATCTCACCTAGCATTGAGGTGAGTTTAGGCAGGAGGTCCGCCTGCACCATCTTGCTGCGGAGGCTGGTATCAAAAGACAGATTGAGGAGCAGGCGAAGAGTGACATTCAGCAGATCTTCATGTTCACAGGGCACCAGTTTGGCCAGCTTCTCCACTGTATCTACTTCAGCCTATCAAACAAGGACACATATAGTTGAAGTTAAAATTATTATTAAATTATTATTATTTTCTTCAAATATTTCCCAAATTATGTCCTATAATATTTTTCCTTCCGGAGAAAAAAAAAAATTGTTTTATTTTGACTAGAATAAAAGCAGTTTTTTTTTTTTTTACACAATTTTGAGGTTAATATTATTAGCCCCCTAAAGCAATAGTTTTTTCGATTATCTACAGAATGCCTTGTTAACCTAATTAACCTAGCCCTAAGCCTTTAAATGTCACTTGCTCAATACTAGTAACTAGATAAAAATATCTAAAATATTATGTACTGTCATTATGGAAAGATAAAATAAGTTAGTAATTAAAAGTTATTAGTTAGTTATTAAAAATAGTTATTTAAACTATTATGTTTAGAAATGTGTTGAATTGAATTGTGATTAATTGAAGAAAAAAAAATCTGACTTCAACTGTACAACTGTGATGGACAAATGTCAGAGCCTGATCCAGGGTCAGTCAGTCAGTTTCTCCAAGTCATGTGCCAGTGGCTTTTGCTTGTTAACACATCTGTTTTCTCCAGCTGTGGTCAAACACAGCCACAGACGGTCAGCTCGGCAGAAACGTGATCCCCATTAAAGCCATTGTTCACAGCCTGGAACTAGTTTTCAAATAAAGCCTTCAACGTTGATATCTGCCAACATCCACAACCTCGAATTCGCAGTCAACGTCAAACAACACCAGTACATTATTGCAAACTTCATCTCCTGCAGACGAAAAGTGTTAAAACTAATCATATAAAAGTGTGTGGTATTATATGGCATTTGTCAAAGTTAGCTACCTTGACAAAAGTGTTTAATGTAGAAGATTAGCTGATTCATGAATCCAAATAAATGATTGCAGAGATAACCCTGGTTCTAGGGTTAAGTGTGTGATTGGTTGCAGGTGGAGGAAGTGTGGGATAAGTGGTCGACTATGCGGCGCAGCTAAACATGAAGTCTTGAAGTAGTACAGAACATTAAATAAGCAACAAATTATGAGAACAGGTGTGGCTGATTTAGGATAAAGAGCAATAATAAGAAAGTAACAACCATGGTGGTATAGCCTTGTGGGATTGAACCTGCAACCTTTCGGTCCACAATAATTGAGCAGTTTTTGTTGGTATCAGTCCATGTGTGTATGTTTTAAGAACATCTATATGCAAGCATGCTAGTGTAACAGAGGCCAGCAAGTGAGATACGATGCAGGTAAAAACCACACTCTGACCTCTAAAAGTGCTCTAGTGACAGGTGCTCTAGGGTCAATAGTCTTTAGCCTCCTTGTTAGATCAACTGACTCCCATACAAAAAATTGCTAGTTCAATCCCAGCTCAGAGCAGGTTGATGTGCAGTAAAACCGGTGGGTTACACATGGGGGCTCGTCCGGGATGGGAGCGAGGTTTAGGGAGTGAGTGTAACAGAGGCCAGCTAGCGAGGTGCTATGCAGATAAACCTCACTCCTCTGACCTCTAAAGGTGCTCTAGTGACAGATGCTAGTTACACTAGAAAAAGTTACCATAAAAATAAGTAAGTCAGTTCAAAGCCCCTAGGTGGAGAACTAGAAGAGTCAGGAAGATATGATTTATGATATATAATTGTTGAATAAAAACAGTAACAGATGAGATGACATTCTTTGCACTTTTGTTCTTAGGGGTTGGTGTTAGTGTGTGTGTTTGAGACTGAAATCTGTTTAACAACATGGGTATGACTGGTATTATAAGAAAGAGGTGAATTATGAGGACATAGATGTTCTCATTTCTCAAAAAGCTTATAAATCACTAGGGGTGTCACGATTTCGATTTTTAATTGAAATCAATCGAAATTTTTGCTCAATTTCGATTATCGAATCAAAAAATAGAATCGTTGATGCTGCCACGCCCCCATGTCACGTCAGCTTGGCTTGCCATCGGGAAAAAAACAGGCTTGTTGAAGTGCTTGTTAAACTGCAGAAGTAGGAGACCCGTCGACAGAACTTAAACCCTCTCCTTTTTCAATGAAGTCGTCGGTGTGTAAGCATTTTGGATTTCCAGTGAGTTATGTTGACAACGTTCGTGTTGTTGACAAAAAAAAAAACACAGTTTTGCAAGCTCTGCTATGTACGTATTACGTACGGCTCGTCCACCGGCATCGCGATCCTCCGTCCCCCCGCCCCCGTTGCAAATCTGCTCGCGAACAGTACACACTCAGGCCCTGTTTACACTGTCTTTGTTTTTAAATGGCATTTTAGAACGACAACGATTTGACATTCACAGTGGCGTGTAGCATTTCTGAGCAAATTTTTCTTGCCTTTATTCATTTACTGTATGATTTGTTTATGGGTAAAACAAAGACCATGCAGGTCAGGTAGTTTAAACGGTAGGCTACAAATAATTAATTGGTCATTAATTAATTAATCATTCATAATCGAAAATCGAATTGAATCGTGACTTTAGAATCGAAAATGTAATCGAATCGAGGATTTGGAGGATCGTGACACCCTTATAAATCATAGATATAGTTTTTTTTGTTTTTCGAAAAGTAAAACTGTACACAGTTTCCTGTGAGTGTTGGGTTGAGGGTGGGTGATAGAAAATACAGTTTGTACAGTATAAAAACAATAGAACCTATAGAATGTCCCCACAATTCACAAACACAAATCTGTGTGTAGGTACACTGTCATGACGATTTTCTGAGTTTTATTTTCAATATTTTTCGCTATACTTATATTTTTATAGTGTTGTTTAGTTCAGTGTTTCTCAACCATGTTCCAGGAGGACCGACAGCTCTGGATATTTTCCTTGTCTCACTAACCAAACACACCTGATTCAGATCATCAGCTCATTAGCAGAGAATAAAAGAACTTTGAATCATGGACTGCTGAATGTCCTGCCTGTGCAACATGTTTACCTTCGGGTACTAATAAAAAGCATAAAGAATGAATATTTCTCACCATGTCATTCTTATTCTCTAAGAAGATGCTGAGTTTTTTGAGGAAGGACACCACCAGCACCAGAAGCTCCTCGCTATCTCTGTCTAGCGTTTTCACCAGAAGGTGGACAATGTTCTTGTTCCTCATCTTCAGCTCTGTGCGAGTATCCTCAGACAGATTCAGAAGCAGGTACAGAGCCACTGAGAAAACAGCATACACTTTAAAGGACCATGAAACCCCCCTTTTTCAGTTCAAGTCTACCTATTTTTCAAAAAATGCTTCAAGATGGGCATCCATGCTCCGAGCAGCACTGTGAGCAGAGTGATGAGTGGACATGGCCGAAAGTGCAGGAAAAAAAATGTGGAGCGAACTGTCAGTTGGCTGACAAAATGAGACACAAACCATAAGGAGACCCACGATTTAATATTTTAAAAGTTAAAATGTCAAGAAATAAACAGTAAGTAATTTAACGCTCTGCTATATTTGTCATTCTTGGTTTCATATACACATAACAACAATTTGTTCTATCATTATAAAGATAATCATGTTTATATAAACACTATAAATGAGGAGGACTTCTCGCCTTCTCTATCCCCGGGTCTGAATGCAGGCACAGTGGATAGCAATGCAGTCTCTTGCCCTGTCTATTCCAACAATTAACCCTGCCAGTAATTTGGAGGATTTTAAACATGTGCAGACACAGCACCACAGATAAAAGCGATGTGTCTCAATGGTAACGAACTCCACTGATAAAAGACAAAGTCTGCCATTCTCCAATTCTCTAAAGAAATTAGATATTAAAAGCCGATAATACTGCCAGCAGATACAGTGCTTTTTCATAGTGTATATACAGTACATGTTTAAAATGTACAAACTTATTTTTTTATCCAATGACAATGCATTTAACTGATCAAAACTAACATTAAAGATTAGGGATAAACTGATAAACTTTTTTTGGCTGATAATGATACTAAAATCTTTTGTCCGATTCCAATACTGATACCGATATTGCATTCAGTACTAGATTTTTTTTTTCTCTCCAATGAATTAGTTTTACTGAACATGGATTAAATCTATTAAACATGAAATTTTCCAACATTTTTAGAGAGGCACAAGTTAAGATAAAAAAAAAAAAAGTTAACAATATGACAATCTTCACAAGTGATTTTTCTATAAGTAGCACTGTTGCTATATGTAAATTCTACATTAAGTTAATCCAGAAAAATATTCACTCACTAAACTACAGTCAGTTTCTTTTATTGTGAAAGGCTTTTTAGCCCAAACTAAGCAATGATTTTGTGCCAGCACATTGTGCACACCAGTTGCTTTGACGATGCATATCTGACATTATGTACATATTAGACTCACGTCTTATATTTTGTACAGATTATATTTATTTTTAAGTGATTTTGCTTCGAAGAAAAACATTGATGTTGGCTTATTTCATATTGCAGATAGCTTTAAATTAATGCAATATCAACCAATAAATATCAGCAGCGGATACATCGGGGCATCCCTAATAATGACTCTAAAAATGTTACAATATTGTATAAGTTACTTCTTTCAAAAACATTTATGAAAACATTAACACCACCATTTTATACAAGATATAAAACTTAATATTAATATTATCTGAATGCTTGTTTTTGTTTCACGTAAGTACTTCTTTAAAAAAAAACAGTGTCCAATTGCTGAAACTGAATGGTAAAGTAATTGAATTGTAGGGTAACTGTAAAGACCACTGGAGCCTGTCTAGAAAAAACACAACTTTAAGCTGTAAACCGAACTTGTTCTTTGAGGGTACATGGGTAACAACATACCTCTTAAAAGCTGCTCCTGTTTCGTCAGCAGTCCATGATACTTCTTCAGGGCTTTCTCGTACTCTTTCTTCAGATTCTGATTGTCTGGGTCATCATCCCGTTCAGAAAGTCAAGGACCTTGTTTATTAAACCCTTATGTTCAGAGCAGTAATTAAAGGGCAACATTTTAATTAAAACAACAGCTATGCCCCCCCGACCTTCTTCTTGACTTTACTTTTACCCTTTCTCTGACATCCTGTCGCTCTTTCACCCACGACCCCTCATACACGGAAAAGGATATCAGCCTTCTTTTTCTTCTGCAGTTCATCCTGCCATAGGTCATAGCGCTTCAGCTCATGCTCAATTATGCTCATGCACAGAGCGCCAATCTTGTAGTGAGTGATCAGACCGTGGAACTGCGAGAAACTGATTAAAAAAAACATGTTTGTCTAACCTTCACCATTCAGCCAACCATGCCAAAATTAATCCTCAACTCAAATCAAACACAATCGTTCACTGAGAGTTTGATGAATGTTTCGCAGAATAACATCAGCATGGCAGAGATTCAAATAAGATTCTGGCCTTCACATTTACTTACATTCTTATTTTTATACGAGTTGTAACAGCAGCTGACATGTGGTGTTTTGATAAGAGTATTTAGTATTATGATTATCAGTAGGAAATATGTTCTTCTAATGGCTCACTGCCTTTGTTGTATCTCAGCTCGGTGCAAAACACCCGTCAAATTGAAGAGTGAGTTTTGGCAGGAGACTGCAAATGTGTAGCTCGTGTACCTGGAGAAGCAGAAGAAGATGTAGATGATGGTGGTTGCCAAATCGACACTCTGCTTCCAGTCCTCCCTCAAGACCCGGGCCAGCGCGCCTAGAGCCGTCTCTGTGGGAGAGCCGACAAAACACTAAATGCTTTCATTGCTCTTGAAAAGGCTCATGTTGTGAATACAAAGTGACAACAGCTTGAAATATGCGACTGCTTGTGAATATGGGCAGTATGCTCTGATTCGTGAGAGCTGATGGGAAAAGAATGAACATACTTGCAAGTGAAGAAATGCATTGTGGGTAAAGCTAAACTGCATTTTGGTTGAGGGCAAATAGTTGGAGAATAGTTGGAAAACAAATATGGGTTAAGTTACAAAGAGGACAAAATGTAAGAGCACATGAGGGAAAGTGGGAATTTATTCAAATATACTTATTTATATGCAGTTGAAGTCGGAATTATTAGCCCCCGCTGAAGTATTAGCCAACTGTTTATTTTTTTCCCCAATTTCTGTTTAATGGAGAGAAGATTTTTTCAGCACATTTCTAATCATAATATATTAATAACTCATTTCTAATAACTGAGTTATTTTATCTTTGCCATGATGACAGTAAATAATATTTGACTAGATATTTTTCAAGACACTTCTATACAGCTTAAAGTGATTGTATAACGTTGGCTTGTTCTGTAGACTACTGAAAAATTAAATAGCTTAAAGGGGCTAATAATTTTGACCTTAAAAATGGTGTTTAAAAAATGTTAAACTGCTTTTATTCTAGCCGAAATTATACAAATAAGACTCTCTCCAGAAGAAAAAATATTATCAGACATACTGCGAAAATCTCTTTGCTCTGTTAAACACAATTTCGGAAATATTTAAAAAATAAAAAAATAAATAAATGGGGGGCTCATAGTTCTGACTTAAACTGTATACTTATGTATACTTATTTATGTGTGTGTGTGTGGGTTTATATACCGGTAAAAAGTTTGGAGTCAGTTTTTTTTTTTCATGTTTTTCTTTTTAAAGAAAACTATTCTGTTCATCAAGACGGCATTTATTAAATGTAATTTTTTTTAAATACTTATTACAATTTTGAATAACTGCATATTGTATGTAGATTCAAATTAAATTATTACTACAGTCATTATTGTTTTTTGTTACTATTAAAAATTAAAACTAACATTAATACTGATATTAATAATAACAATATTAAATAATATAAGAGTGATTTCTTAAGGATCATGTGACTGGAGTAATGAAGCTGAAAACATAAAAAAATGATTAAATTATAAACTACTTTTGAACAGTTATTTTATAGTGCAATAACATTTCACAATTTTACAATTTGTTCTGTATTTTTGATTAAAATTTAACTGACTATTTAACTGCCATAACTTCAGTATTCCTTTTCTGATGCTTCAGAACTTATTTACAATGTACAAAAAACATTATTTTATATTTATATTTTAATTATAACTATAATATTTATACTTTATACTTATCTAAAAAATATCTACATTTTATAAGCAAGATGGTCTTTCTACTTCACAGTTCCACTTTTAATTTATTATACTTTCTTTGTGATCATTTGTAACATTTAAAATTGTTTCTATGTCAAATTATTTTCTGATATGGGGCAAAACATTACTTCTCATTATCTATGTTGAAATTTTTAATACTGCTTGATTGTTTAATGCTCAAAATGATAATTTATTTTAAATAAATTATTTGCAACATCTTTTGACATACCCTTGTAATGTATGTAGCTTCTCGTACATTTTGTATGACAAGAGGTTAAGGAAACAGTGACAGGTTTTTAATTTCGGGGGAAACTATCCTTTGATAACAGTCGTTAGAGCACCTTTGTTCAAAGGCACAGTAAAAGTACTAAAAAAACTAAAGAACTAAAACTGTACAGTATTTTTTTAAAAACTGTCTACAATAAGGCTGCATGATTAATCGAAAAAAGGTCACGATCTTGATTTGACCCTACACACAATCTCAATTCTGCTTTTCTACGATTCAGCCAATTATATTTTCAAGGTCGGGAGAGAAAACTAAAGGCTGTTGCACAAGTCTTCACATTGTTTTATGGTGTTAAAAGAGTCACATACTGTTTTTATAAGGTATAATTCACCCAAAAATGTCATTTCTGTCTTCATGTAATGACGTAATTGCGGCTGTGAAATCACACCTGAGCTGAGTGTTTACCAGAGAGAATGCACACGCCCGCCCACTAATGAAGTCTGCTTAAGTGAACAGAATCTGCATAGGCTGTGAATAACATGTAATAAAGTTGTAAAAGGACTTTCCATATTTAAAAAAAAATGTCCATATGTTTAAGAAATAACAATAAAAATAGCCAACTCATTAACCTTTATAGTAACAGAACCATGAGAAAATCGTGATCTTATTTTAGACAAAATCGCGCAGCCCTAGTGTACAATGAAGTACAATTCTCCTCAAACATTGAATAATAAAATTAAACTTAATAGGATATGCATATTACTTTTAGCAGACCAATAAGCCCAAAACTCAAGTCTTTACAAAGAAATATTTTGTTTCAAATGTCTTAAATATTACTAAATTATGGGAGGTGCAAACCACAATTTAAACTCCAGTAAGCATGTTAAAAACAATAATAATTGAAATAAAAAATGACAGATAGATAATATAATGTGTCTCAAATTCATGGTGTGTGTTGCACCGTTCTGCAGCAACTCCTCCAGGTTGTCAGGATTACGGGCCAAATGAAGTATAAGTGTAGCTCCTCTGATCTTTTCAGGGATGTCTTCATACAGGAGCTCAACATAGTCATCTATGTTATTAATGTTGGCCTCCTCTTCCAACTACAGGACACAAAATGTAAAGTAAAGCATCCATTAAGTCAAAAATGTGCCAATAACTGAGACAATAAAACCATAAAATGCTTTAATATGCTAATTTAACAGGAGTGACAAATGCATCTTGTTTCTGCTATACCTCCATGCCCTCAAAAGGAGTCAGATCTCTTGGCTTGATTTGTTTCTTCTCTTTCTTTTCTGAGTAAACAAAACATAATTAATCAGCATGTGAAGTACCAAATGATAAACGATTTTTGTCCATTTCTTTACCAGCAGATTTTTTGCGGTTCTGCAGGTAGAACAATAGCTGTTCCACCTCAGGAAGTCTGGAGGGGGAAATGAGTCTACATTCCTCCACGACCTTTCTTGCTAACGATGCAATGTCCGTGTTAGAGTTCAGGCTTTTCAGACGGATTCTGCAAATCAAAATAATGCAATTGAGTTTCATGACATTCTACCAAAATGATTTTACACTGTTACACATAGTGTATCTGGTGAAACACTGTACTGTACACTGTTTATATATATTTCATAATACAGGGTGATTCAAAAAGAATACCACAATTTTTAGGTTGATGTCACTCAAGTGTCTGGAGGGGGCCGATGGATCGGATTTCTGCCTTCCATCTGTTCCAGCATGAATCAACGTTTATCTTTTTTTCCTCATAACTTTATTAATATAAATATTTGAATAAGTATTTAACTTTGAAATGGTTTTGACTAATAAATAATTTAATAAATAACAAAATGCTTAATGTAAGAATGTTCAGTGGCCTTGCTCCTCTCTTTGTCTGTCTATTTTAACTTTATTTTCAGGAGTCAAAAAACTAGGGTCTTGGAGATCTCGAGTGCAACTGAAGGGCTTAATGAATGAAAACAACTGTTTTCCTATTTGTATACTTATTTGTTAATACTGTCTAAAGTGATTTTGATATTATTATTATTATGTTTTAGTTCTGTTTTAAGTCATTTTCTTTTTTATTCAAGATAGACTTTGTGTAGTAATACAGCAGCCTGAATGCTGTTTACACCAGTTTTTTACTAGTTTGATAAGGCTGCTGAGAGATTGAAGAAACAACCATGGGTTTTTATAACAGATTGTTTCTTACGTGTGTATATGCATCCGATGGGTCAGTTCTTCAGGTCTGAGACCAGCTGATAGTTGTCTAAGGGCAACTTGACCCAAGCCTCCAGTGCATGCAGATATGACCCCGAATTGACGTACATATTTAGAAATCTATGTTTTAACTATTTGAAACCTGTTCCCTGAATCACACCCTTTCTGGTTATGTGTAGAGAGTATAATTGTTATTGATTTGTGATTGTAAGCAGAGCAGCCTAGGAACTCATCGCTAGTGTTGAAGCTGGCTTCTGCTGATGAAACGGCAAACTATCTTCAGTAAACTTGTATTTTATTTTTTATTTTAATATTTAGTTGAATCTCTGACTCTGACTCTTCTCCGTCTGACAGACTGCTCATTCTTTGGGTTAAAACTGTAAATTATTCCCAGGGTCATCTTAAACATCTATTAACTTGTTTTCTACTGAAAAAAACTTGAAGTACTCTTCACTTTGATTAATAACCCAAGGTTCCATCATGTTCCTTTGAATAAAAACAGATTTTCAAAGTTGTGCTTTTTGAATCACCCTATATAATTCTAAACTATTAATATTATTATTATTATAACAAATATTCTCACATCTTCTGGCACTCCTTGCGTTCTCCCAGCATTGGGTCTCCCATCTCACCCAAGATCGTGGCTTCCACTTCATACTGGACAACCAGGGCTTTTTCTGTGGGGTGGACATCTAAACTACCACCCTTATATTTCCTGAACACAAAACAGTACAGACCATTTATTTTGTTATGCATTTTTCCAACTTGAATTCAATTTATATTTTTATTTACCTGCGAAGGATGCTTTGTACAGTGTACAGAAATTTGTTTATTATTAAGTTTTTTCATAAGATTTAAATACAACAATATTTACCATAACATCCTTCAAAGTACCTTTTACATGGTTATATTCTTTATTAAAATAGAGTAAACATTATGCCCTATTAAGGGTGCGACAGTTGTCAGTGGTTAGCACTGTCGCCTTACTACAAGAAGGTCACTGGTTCGAGTCCCGGGTGAGCCAGTTAGCATTTCTGTGTGGAGTTTACATGTTCTCCCCATGTTCGTGTGGGTTTACCCCACAGTCCAAAAACATGTAGTATAGGTGAATTTAACAAAACAAACGAATTGGTTGTAGTGTACGTGTGTTAATGAGTGCGTATGGATGTTTCCCAGTCGCTGGTTTGCAGCTGGAAGGGCATTTACTGTGAAACATATGCTGGATAAGTTGGCGATTTATTCCGCTGTGATGACCCCTGATGAATAAAGGCACTAAGACGAAGGAAAATGGATGAATTATGCTGGGCTGTATTGCCGTCACAACAATACATTTTAATTAATGTATTTAGTTTGTAAATATTTTACTTATTTAATGAAGCCGTAATTAGACTTTAATCAAAATGAAGCTGAATTTGAAGGAGCGGAAAGAATATGTCGACAGTTTGCAGTGACACATACCTACAGCAAATATTAATGTAACATCATCTTACAAAACAACGTTCACAGAAATTTGTGGTGTTTTATACCATGTAAACTTATTATAAATTATTTTAATGAAGCTATTAACATTATGATGACTATTGTGAAGGTTTTATTTATAATTATGATTATTAATCATTAGTATGCCCATATTAACATATTTCGTTCACATAAATATAAACTGAATTTTGAGATAAGTTGAATATTTTTACAGTTATGAATAAACAATCGAATGCAATGTGTTACAAGTTTGTAAGCACTATTTTCAGATTTTGTAGTGTTTCATCGTGTGTTAAACGTTGTGTTTATATTTTAATGAACCTAATAATATAACGATGACTGCGGTGACGTAAATTTCCTTCATTATGATGATCATATACACATAACGTTAAACTGAATACCAGAAAGCCAATGACATATTTTCACATACACAGAGAGAGAGAATATCAATATGTTACATCCTAGAAACAATATTTACAGGCATGTTGGTTGTTTTCTGCTGTGTTAAGATTAAGCTTGATCGTTAAAGCTAATGATATTATCAGACAAAGCTCGCAACGACTCACACAAAAGCCTCACCGTTTTAAATATCTGGCGTCGTCCGCTTGCATTGCCGGCTGAATAATAAGTAAATAAAGCTGCGCGGCTGATTTCTGTCAGATGTTTTGATGTTGTTGGTCTAATGTCTGCACTGCTTCATCGTTTCTGTTCTGACAGGATGCTGATGTTTGTGTTGCTATGGGTGTGTACTGTGTTTCCGTGAAAGAGGGCAGAAGAAGAAATACGCATACAAACTTTTTAGCGCCACCTGTACATATGGAGGTACGTAACGTTAACGCTCAATTGAAATGCATGAGCTTTACATATTACTGTAGGTCTCAAACTGGATTCCTGGAGGGCCGCAGCTCTGCAAAGCTTTGCTCCAACCCTGATCAAACACAGCTAATCCAACTAATGAAGGTGTTCAAGAGGAGACTATTAAGCAGGTGTGAGTTGGAGCAGGTTGGAGCTAAACCATGCAGAGCTGCGCCCCTCCACAAATTGAGTTTGAGACCATTGCATTACATAGTTTAATAACTTTTCTCAAACACCTATATAGGTTTCGTACAATTGCTGAACTAGAATTGCTGTTGCTGAACAGTTAAAGTCAAAATGTCAAAAGGTAAAGTAATTTTTTTCAACATTAGAAATGTAGGTGATTTACATTTTTACCCAATAGACTATATGTTGTTTTTAATCCTTAGGGGAAATAAATATATACATCTACATGTAGGCTAATAGTTTTATATTCATTCAATTTTTTGTTTTTCTAATGTTTCTAATTTGCTGAGCTAAAAATCTCCATTTCAGTTGCATTTGTACACCTGTCTTTACAGTTTTAATATCTGTTTCCACATAAATATTTGTTATAATTGCTTTTTATATACTTTGCCAGCATTATATACTAGCAAAATATATAGTACAATAATTATATATTTATTTATGTTTCCATATTTTCAGATTTATGAAGAAAAAAAAAAACAAGTATAGTTTACAACTCTTTAATGTTTTTCTAACATTAGGAAAACATTATTTTTGGAAGTTTTCTGAGCATTTAAAATGTCCAAATTTAACAAACAAAAAAGCAAGTGCAAGTGAAAAGAGTTATTTCCCCATTTTTTAATGTAACTTCAATGTTTCTAATATTTAAATGGAGAAAATCCAGCTAAAATGTTCCACAAAAAATGCCTAAATAACAATTAGAGAGTATTATTAAAGACCAGATAACTCTGAACAAACATTCAATGTAACTAAAAGAACATTTGTTCTTGTTGGCAGCATATGTAAACAACATTTCAAGTAACTACTAAAACAGTTGTCTAACAGGGCACTGTAAAAAATGCTGGGTTCCACACCTCCTTAATGTTGTCCTAACACAAATTAATTAAGTTAACTCAATCATTTGTACAAATTTAAGTGGATTGAACATAAACCAATTAAGTTGTACCAAAAAACCCTCAAGAATTGCCTTGTTTCTACAAATTTTAAATAAGTAGTTCTAGCAAGCAGCCAAATATATTTTTGAGCATACTATGATGAATCATCTCCAATACCTTCATAGCTTTTAATTCCATTTATTTTAAACTAAACAGTATTTAGCCATTAGGATTGTCCCCCATATTAACGCAGCTTTTTGTAGTCCTACTTTGTAAGATCAACATTATTTATAAACAGTCTCCTCTAATTGCATTGAGCATGCATTTCTAAATTAAGCACTGGTACAGTTTTGGTTGACTGAAGATCACACACACTGAGGTGATGATCATTTGGCAATTGATTACAAACTGCAATCATATGAGTAACACATGACCCATGCGCTGAGACGACTTAAAATAAGAGGACTGATATCAAATCCATCATCTTATTCTTATCTCTCAGCTTTTTAATTATTTACATCAAAATTTTCATTTTATCAATTCAGCTTTTCCAATGGTGACAGAGTAGATGCATGCAAACAATCAGCAGCGACATCATGTTCAGATTACATTTGTCTTTGATCTTTCCTCACCACATTCAATTTACCACTGATGCAGTGTGTATACAAACATGAGAAGATAGTGCTAAGAATAGCCACTACATGAGCCGCTTGTCACTAGCCGTGAATGAATGCACGACCTCCTGGTTCATGTGCTGATATGCACTAATATGCCATTCTAGATGTCTGTGGAACTTAGGAGAAGGGGCTTCTTCTGGAAATGGAGAAGGTGGTACCACCCCTCTTCTGAAGCAATCTCACCCTACCATTTCTCACTGGGCGAAAAGCAGGTGATCTGATAAGATGTGGTAGTTTTAAGCACTCTGCTGAGAAAAGAACATCCCCTCGGTCAGTAACCGAAGGCCTCCTACAGATATAGCAGCAGCACTGCGGTGTCTTCAGCACTTCTTCCAGAGCCACACATACTCCAACTTCAGTTTTGAAACAAGATTCAAGATGTCTGATTCCACCTCTATTATGGAGTTTAGTGGGACTCATCAAGCCTTCAGAAACCGCTGGGCGAAGACGGATGATGAGATGTGCAAGCACAGCATGTCTTTTCACTTGCACAAAACTTTGAGGAAGGAGTTCTTTGCCAGCTACCTATATCTTCTGGAGCAGATTCCTCTGGGTAAGGACTGCTTATATCAATTATGAGCTTTCCTGATATTCAATGAAAAATCCAGCTGGAAATACTGAGTTGCTTCAGTGCAAATTCCCAATAATTATTCAGTCTGTGTTTATTAATGTTCATAAAACATGCACATCAGTCCCTAAAGCTTTTTAAAAATTAATGCCGTTTATTTGTCAATGAGAGCTTAATGATGTGACTATTTTAAGCATTATTGCATAACTCTGTATGTTTCTATAGACTTGTGCATTTTCTGTCTACCAGATAACTTCTATTATCAAAAGCCTAACTTTGAATAACATAAATTATATCAATTTATTTCATTAAAAAGGTTTGTATGTGCATTTAGAGACAATTTGTCTTAAAATTATTAACTTAAAGATTGTTGACTCTCTCCTTAATCATTCATTCAATTTGTCATCGAGTTTTTACTCTACTAAGTTAAATAAGAATTTGCATGGAACATCTATTTTCTTTATTATTTGTAATTTCAGTCATAAATATATACATTTTGTGTCTCTACGCTGAACAACTGTTACATTGGATATAAAAATCTGTTATAAGCATTGAGAGAATAAACGTGACTTAGTTTTGTCACTTGAAGCTGGAAGGCGTACTAGCTCTTCTCTCATTAATATGTATAAAATATTTAGGATACATTAACATTAGATTAATTAATTAAACACTCTGGTTTTGTGATGTTTGAGTGAGTTTCCTATTCACTTTTTAAAAATAATAATATGATGAAAAAGCCTTAAATTCTGTTTTTAGAGATGTCATATGGTATCTGATATAAGCCAAGGCAAAAATAGTGAAAAATATCAGCTCTGTTTTTGTTAACTCTGTTTATGGTTTTAAAAGTTTAACAATAAGTTAAACCACAATCAGAGTCAAATGTTCCCTCTTACATTTATGCCATACCTGTCAACATTGGGATGTGAAAATAAGGCACACCGACTGTTGAGGATTGCAAAGGAGGGACAACGGTGCCTGCAATAAAAGGAAGGGAATCCTGCCATTTTTATATATATTTTAGTGTTCATGCCTAAATAAAAATTAAAGCACAGAGCAGATATACATTTAAGAGCAAGGTGCGTCCTTTATGGGTTGCATAAAGGGAGGATTGAGCTCTTTAATGTTTATTGTCGCCCTTCATAGAAAGATTAAAAATATGGAAGAAATACAAGTTAATACCTTTACAAGATGATATCGGGATAGAACTGTAAAATACAGGAGAATCCCAGGAAAATGGAACCTAGTTGCAATATTTTACATTATTAATACATTCAGTTTAGCATACTGTAAATTTACCATTTGTTTTATATCATTCCAGTTTAATGGAAAATGCTTGAAATCTACCCACAAATTTGGATTGAATCAGATATGCACACTGCATATTTTACATTCCAAAAAACAAGTAATAAAATAAAAATGAACATTTAGTCAATTAGCAGACGCTTCTGTCCAAAGAGACTAACAATTGAAGTAACTGTACACAACAACACACGACAAGTGCTAATTATACAATGATACTGTTGGTGCTCAGAGAAATAAGTGCCGGAGTAGGGATATTTCCACAGGTGGTTTGTCAAGCCCACTCACCTGTGTAAAGCACACTTAATAAATTCATTAAAAAAAAATTTATTTTTATCTGAGATATATAGTGATTATAAGAAAGTGTCTGGTGCAAATGTGCAAGTGTTAGTTAAAGTGTCAGAGAGATGAAAGGGAGTGTTTTCTACAAGTGGTTTGTCAAGCCCACTCACCTGTGTGAGGCACACTTAAAATTGCATAATGTTTTGAGGTTGTTGTATGGCGTGGTAGAGGGAGAGAAGAGGGGGTCCTGGTCCACTCCTCTAAAAATAGAATAGAATAAAAATAAAATAGACATTGCATTAACAGCAATAACAACCATCATCATAAAAAGCCATGATGGTGTTAAAGTTTGTGAAATACTTTGTGAACAATATAATGCTCTCTTTAAAACAATCGTTAATTTAATACGATTGTTTTTAAATATTGAGAATTGCTGACAGTAAGTGATGATTGTTGGCTTGTATTTTCACATGTCCACACAGTTATTTAAAATGTGAGTAGTGTAAACTGTGGAAGTGATTAATCCAATCTGTCAATGTTACTGAGAGATAGTGGTCAGTCAGTTCTGAAGCCAGATTTCTATTAATAGCTTCAGTCACACTTATTTGTAATATAAATGATAAGATATTTAAATAAGCAACAAAAACATTACAGTGCAGGGCAGGTAAAAATGGATGACATAATCATATAAAACAAACATTCACTTAAATGTTTAAATATACAGTACTTGATATCATTAAGGATCAACTGGTTATTTAGGGAGAAAAGAAATAAAAGTTGAACCCTAGACTTGATTGTACTTATTTGCATTGTGCACTGTAAAAATACTTGCATTTTTAATTCACAAGTGTTTTACATTTATTTAAGGTTATTAATTGCATTATAAGGGCCTTGATCTCTACTCTGTTAACTTTTAATGCTGAGAATTCAAGTTTAACAAAGTGACTGTTTTGACTTTTTAGTAGTTTGAAAAAGCCATAATGTATAAGAAATAATGTCTGGAAAATTAGGTGTATCACTTTAGTTTAGGTATAACCATTTATGATGTTACCAAACTATTAACTAACACTAGCTTAACAAACAACTAATTATCTGTTTAATAATAGTGAGTAAGGTAGAGGTTGAGTTTAAGTTTTGGGTAGGATTGGGGATACAGGATAAGATCATGCTTTATAACTGCTAAAAAGCTGTTAATATCTTATTAATATGTGCGTAATTAGCCAGTTAACACAGTAATAAGTTGACCTAAACTAAAGTGTTACCAAAATAAGTCTGTAAAATAAGTCTGCTGGCCATTTATTACAAGGTTTTTGTACCGCAATTTACAACACCAACCCATACAATATATCACTTTAAACTTTAAACACTTTTAAAAAATGTTAATAAAAGTCACTTTTTAAAAAAACTTTTCAAGGGTAAAGGTTGTTGAAAGAAAGGTCAAGGTCCCATAAGACAATTCTAAATGTGTGTGTGTGTGTGTGTGTGTGTGTGTGTGTGTGTGTGTGTTGGGGGAGGGGGGGAATAATAATAACAAGAATGACAAAATAAGGAAAACTGTTATAATTTACAAATATTTTTACATTTACTTTTGGAGAATAAAAAGTAGCCCAACTTTGTCTATTACAGAACACTTCTATTTTGCATAAATTTAATTTATAGTCCACATTTGTAAGTCTGCCTAATGATCTGATTAGCTAGCTTGCAATAACGTTAGCTATTAACATGCTGAAACTAACATTGTATTAACTAACATTAAATTAAAATAACATTATTTCAGTGTTTATTTTCTTTTTCCAGGGCTATGTGAAACATTATGGTAACTGTAAATTCCCTTTTTAATTACAACAAAGCTACATTAATGCAATGCAAAAAAATTACATTAATGTCTGTTTTGGCTTTTATTGCAAAAATATTTAATAATCCTAACATGTCATTTTACTGTTGCCCTTCTACAAGAAAGGCAAGTGTTAAGCTATACAGAGTGTGAACAAAAAATATACAGGACTAAAATAAAACTGTCCACAAGGAAACACTGCCCGGTGTTACTATTTTTGACTTTGGACTACTGAACTAGTGGTTCACATGACAAACCCTGGTCACAGTTTCGGTATCACAATCCACTCACCCTGCCAGTTCTCTCACCTATAACACTTCAGCAAGATCTTCCCACTAATTATCCGATGATCTGATGCTTGCTTCAAATTTCCAAGCATGCATTGACCTGATGACTGGTATGTATGTCCTTTAAATGACCAGCTCTTTAAGGGAGCAGATATTCCAGCTGGATTTAAGCTGACATTTAGCTTATGTTGACAGAAAGTGAATTGCTTCAAACCATCTAAACCTTTAAATGGGCCAGCAGTAAAGTATTTCTTGGTGCTGTAATACAACACTGTCAATACCATCTTGGCATTTTAGTCCAGTTTGCTGAAAAAAAGGGTTTCAAAACTGGGATCTCAGAAGTTCAGATGTTTTACCTCATTATCACTTGATGCTATTCCAAGAACACCTTAATACCTTTCCCAGAACAACTAAAGATTCAATGGTGTTGTGTAATGTAAATTAGAATACACAAATGCATGCTTGGAAACTTCAACACTCAACTATACACATTCTCTTGAGATGATATGGCTTTGAGCTGACCATTATATTTATAAATGTTCGATGATTTTATGTTTGATTTCCAATAACTATTGGTTCATTACATCAGCTAATACCTAAAAATATATATATATTTCACATTCAGACAAGAACATAGTCATAAACAATCCCTGTTCACAATGATTAAGCGAATTAGAACAGTGTATTTGCAACATTCTGTCTGTGTTTGATATCATTTTCTTAACTTTTAGCTTGTATTATTTGACCTGTTTGCCTTTGCTTCATCTGTAATAGTCTTTTGTTGCTGTTATTTATTGCTTTTTGGATATATATATATATATATATATAATGTATTTGGGATAAACCTAACTGTTGTGGTAAAAAACTTCTGAATTGTTTAAACCAAAATTTTGATTAATTACGGCAATCCCAATGGTTGGGTTAAATTTTCAGAATCAGTTTTCAGAATCAATTACAGAAAATGTTAACTTGAGTTAAACAACCCAGCATTTTTAAAGTGTGTTGTCATGAAAATGAACAGTCAAAATGCATACAGGATTTTCTAATTGGATGTCAGGTAAATAAATCAGAATTCAAACTTCCAAAAAACTATTGTCCAATATGATGTAAATGTCTTTACGTTTCTTGGCCTACAGTGAAACTCTATGCCTTGACCTGTGAGTACATTAAAGGGGAGAAGCAGTTTTACTACAGAGCACAGAACTTCTACAAGGACGTCCCGCCATCTGAAGAGGGCATGATGGGAGATTTTGTGGAAATATCAGACATTGACCTTGAAGGCTCAAGACAGTTCCTGAAGAAGTTTGTTGTATGAACTGTTTCCTAATAATTTTATAATGAATTATTTAGATAATTTTGAATAGGAATAAGAATAAGCAACATAGACTCTAAAATTTGAGTTTTAAAAATAAATGTTATTTTAAAACTTCAAATGGGAACAACTTTTGCCAATATATAAAATCTCTAAAAAAAACATGGCATGTTGTAATATTAACATATCAGTATCATTATATCATTAGAAAAATTGTCTGCGCTTATGATGGGCCTGATATTTACAAATTTTATAAATGTAAATATCAGACCCATCATAAGCGCAAACAACCTTTGCTTATTGGAGTCTTCAGTTGCATTTAGACTTTTATATATACCTTTAGATAGCAAGTCCTGAAGATCAGAATAGCCATAGGTTCCCTATAACATGTGAAACATGAGCTTAATTAACACATCCAAGCTGCCAATCGCATTTGCTTCATAAATAGTGATCAGCTGTTCTCCTTGAAAAAGTTAACAACCATGAACCCAGACTTGAAGCCTTTAGTTTTACATCTTATCCAAAATATCTTTACAAAATGTTAATTGATTTGGTTGTGTTTTCTTGTTGCAACAATTGCTGAAGATTCTTTATAAAAATTTACAACATGTTTTAAAAAAAGCAATGGAACTTTATAAGTTATTATTGAACATTTAAAAAAAACTTGAATTCCAATGAGTTACTATTGAAGTCAGAATTATTAGCCCCCTGAATTATTAGCCCCCTGTTTAATTTTTATTCCCAATTTCTTTTTAACAGAGAGAAGATTTTTTTCAACACACAAAAATTCAAAGGGGGTTTAATAACTCTGATTTCAACTGTACCTTTAGATAACAAGTCCTGAAGATCAGAATAGCCATAGGTTCTCTATAACATGTGAAACATGAGCTTAATTAACACATCCAAGCTGCCAATCGCATTTGCTTCATAAATAGTGATCAGCTGTTCTCCTCGAAAAAGTCAAAGACCATGAACCTAGAATCTCTACAGTAACTTACTGGGAGCAGTTTTCCAATAATCTACTGTAAATCAGTGATTTTCACAATGTATCCAAAATACAGAAAAAAATGTTAACAGTGTATTTAAAAAAATCTGAATATTTTTAAATGCCATTCTAAAAGTTTTGAAGTGCCCATGACAACAATATCTTGCATGTTCATTATTATTATGTACAGTAATATTGAATATTGGCACGTCTATTTCTAACAGGGTCCAGGAAAGGCTGGCACTAAGTGTGCGCTAGACTGTGGCTGTGGAATCGGCAGAGTGTCTAAAGGGGTTCTGTTCCCTGTGTTTGAATCAATGGAGATGTTAGACATGATGGAGGAGTTCATCCTCCACGCTCACGAATGTTACCTTGGGGATTATGCAGACAGAGTGGAGTCCTACTACCTGTACAATCTGCAGGAATTCATTCCCCCTAGAAAGAAATACGATGTCATCTGGATGCAGTGGGTTGCCTGTGAGTAGATGGATGCGTTATTATTTTATGGATTCATTTATGTTTTACAATGAGGCAGTTGAATGATTGATACTGATTGGCTGATGATCAATTATTTTCAGATATAAACACAGCTGAAGTAGTTCTAGATGTAAACACAGATGAGTTACAGTTAAAAGCAGGTTTTGACCAAATTGCATTTCTTTATCACTACACCAAATGATTTCAGTTATTTCACAGTCTACAAAAGTCATTAAATCCAAACAAAAAACAAAATGCTTTGGATGAGATACTTAAAAACACTGAAAAGGCATCGTAATCCACTGCAGTTAGATGCCAAAACATTAAAAGGTTCTTGAAATACACCATCTGAGCAATGTCTTTACTTGTCATCAGTGTAAGAAAGAGTACTGAAAATCATACTCAAGTAAAAGTACCATTACTTGCCCAAAAATGTAGGCAAATAGAATAAAAGTATCTGCTGTAAACATTACTCAAATTATGAGTAAACAGCTCCTAAAATGACTAAAAAGTGCATAAATAGCCCTTTTAAAAGTACTCAATAGTATTGAGGGTTACGATGTGAAATGTTGATGCATTTACATTTCTGTATGTGTGTGAAAACGAAACATTCTGTTTGTAATTTTGTGATTGTTTCAAGGCCATTTCATGATTATACAGTAGAAACCTTCATCATAATCATCCATCTCTCATCCTTACATGTAATGACTTTGTGTCTTCTTAGACACTTTTAATGCTTCCACACTGTACGTTTGTTGCATTTACGAAGCGTCCATGACATGAGGTTGTTCTGTATGATGATGTTTTTTGCAATTTGATTGGTAGGAAATCACAAAACTGATCGTTCTACTTAGCCAATCAAATATATAAAAGTAAAAATTTAAGTATGCAGGCTCAAGGAAAATAATGAAGTAAAATGACTATTACAGCAATAAAATGTACTCAAATGCACATTTTTATAGCTACTTAGTAAAGTAAAATTCCTGAGAAAAACTACTCAATTACAGTAATTTGAATATTTGTAATTTATTACTTTATACCTCAGGCAAAAATGTTTGAATATTTGATCGCACACTGTTCAATTATTGGAAAATAATGCACTTTTGGATTGGATTCTGACTTAATTAATATTGTAAGGTGTGCAATTGTTTTCAGATAAACGCATCTTGACCACATATCATATCATACCACAGAAGAGTTGATGTTATTAGGTTTGGTAACCATAAGAAAAAGCATTGAATCCAGTGAAATATTTCACACCTGAGGTCTAACAACCACATTATTTTCTTATGATTCAATGGCACACTGTCAGTTTTTCCTTGTCTTAAATATTCTGCAATGATGATTAGCTTGCATTTACTGTTTTCTGCCTACCTACTTTTACTTATTTTAGTAGCTCTCTTTTCCCATTTGGTGTAACGCGAGCAGCTGTATGCTAGACAGATTCTTGTGTTGCAGTATACAGTTTCATCTCCCTCACTGCTGTCTGTGTGTATATTTGACACCGGTGACAGAGATATCTACATGATACCATTTAAAACCATATAAAGACTTCTGAAAGTGCATGAATGATTGCATTCCTATGACTGACAGTGATGACAGTTTTAAAGACATAGATCATTAGATCATACACACACATTTTTTGAAAGGAGGAATGCAGTAAAGAATGACAGGAGTATATGAAGATAAAAGAGGTTTCCAGGTATCAAAAAAATCTTAATTTAGTGAGTGATTATAAGTAAATATGTCCTGGTTAAATAATTTTTTTTATATTATGTCCTGTTTAATTGTACACTCATAAAAAAGAAAAAAAAAACTGTAACCTTTTGATTTTATTTAATTTGTCCATTTTTTTAAATGTATGTTGTCAGATTTTTAAATCATTTTAAATGTGTTAGAATCGAATACCATTAGATTTAATCAGTAAAAATATATGAATATGGTATAAATACATTCAGAACATATATTTTATGCGATTGGTTTATTTATGTCACAATCACCAGCGATCTGGCAGATTCTACAAACTCGCCGGTATATGGACTACAAGTTAAGTCATGCACCGCTTACTCACACCTGTTCCAGTTTTCCTGCGAACACACAGCTGAAGCTGTTCAAAATTGGTTACATGGACTTTAAAAACAGCGTACGCGCACACACACACACACACACACACACACACACACACACACACACACACACCAGTGCTGAGTCTTTTTATACTGTTACTATGAACATTATGACACAGTTTCCTTTGCCTTGTCTAGCAGGTTTGACCCTCGCTTTGTTTGTTTATGTTGTCTGCTGCCTGCCTGTTTTGACCATTCACCTGTGGATTTGACTACAATTCTGGATTTCCTGTGTACATCTGTTTGCCCCTGTGTTGACCATTGCTTGCCTGACCATCTTTGTTTGAAAAACCTGCGCTTGGTTCTGCACTTCCGTTGTTAGCATCCCATACAAATTACAACTTAACATTCAAGGTCATTGAATGCAGCTCCATACTCCACACATAGATGAAATGATAAGAAGCATTTAAAACACATTTGATGTATTCATATTATTACCTAAACTTGTTCTTATTTGTTTCATTCATGTTTAGCTAACAAATATCAAGCACATGAAGTTTATTAGTTTAATTATGTTAAAAGTATGTAATCCAAATGGATGGAAATTTTATATGCATATATGCTATTTGTTAGGCCTAAATATTTTTGAGTATATTTTTATCATGCAGTTTAAACATATTTTCCAAAGACAGATGCCAAAAAAATTGTCCTTTTGTCAATAAACAGTTTTATCATCAAAAAAAAAAAATCTTGATAGGCATATTTAAAGCAATAATTATTAATATGATGACATTTTAGTTGAAGATTATTGTCACATAACCGGACACTGACAACTGAGTTATTATACGAGAATGGCCAGGCAGGTAATGATCACAATCAGGAGTAAATGGTAACATGCAGGCAAATCCTGAAGATAGTAAATAAGCAGGCGAGTGGTCGATCCTGGCGGCTAACAACATAAACAAAACAAAGTAAAGGTCAATCAAGGCAAAGCAAGGCAAGACAAGACTCAGCAATTGGTGTTTGTGTCTGTGCAGCAATCCGTTTTGAACAGCTTGTGTGTGTGTGTGTTAGCAATCAGCAGAAAACTGGAACAGGTGTGTGTGGTGCATAGGAGGATTTGTAGTCCATATGTTGACATTTTTAGTCCTGAGTGAAATTGAATGATTCCCAGCGATCTACAAGCCTGGATTGCTGGTGATTGTGACAATTATCATTTTAACTTTATACTTTATGCCTTACTTGGTTTTACCCATTTGTCAATTTATTTTTACAATTACAAATATAATAAAATGGATAACAATCATGTTTTTATTTAATATATTGTAATGATCAGAATAATTAAATAGTTTTAGTTGTAAATAAAACGATCTGTTATGATGAATGAGATAATATTATTACACCCATTTTACACAAAAAAAATATTAAATAAACATTCAAGTACAGTCTTTACTTGCATTAAATACACTCAAAAAATATTTTTGCTGCTTGTTCAAACCATATATATTTCAAATGAACTGAATCAACACAATTCTTTGTTTTTTGAAGGGCACAACTTAATCTTTTATGTTAAATCCACTTCAATTTGTAAAATCAATTAAGTTAGCATATTCAATTTGTGTTGGGACCCTCAATTGTGTGGCACTTTTAACAGTGTTTTGCTTTTTTCAGGTCATCTTACTGACAAGGACCTGATGGAGTTTTTAATGCGCGCTAAGGAGAGCTTGAGGCCCAACGGTGTGATCATCATTAAGGACAATATGGCGCGGCAGGGCTGTAAACTGGACCCCATTGACAGCAGCATCATTCGCCACTTGGACATCATGAATGGCATCATTCAGAGAGCAGGCCTCAACATCCTGGACGTGGAAAAGCAGGAAGGCTTTCCTGAGGCCATTGTTCCTGTATGGATGATTGCCATGCGCTGAAAAAAGCATGTATGTTTAGAAGAAGCAGAGAAAGTTTCTACATGTACTTATGTATAGAATTACATAGTATGTTTTATTCCATTTTTTATGTTTTTCAAGTAGCATTCTGACTGCTTTCACTGTATATTATCAACTCAATTTACTCTCAAAAAAGTACAAGAGCTGTCACTGAGCAAATTTACTTAAGTTACATAAAAAGGGTTAAATCGTTAAAATTGTCTAAAAGTAATTACTACTAGTAATTACTCAATAAGTATTTATTACTTGATTCTGTAGTTAATTAAAATCTGTATAAATATCAACGCATAAACAATAGAAATAAAAAAAATTTCATTCTTAAAAATTTGAGGTTTAATTTAGCTATGTTTACTGTTTCATACTGACACCGTACGTTGTTTGTTGTATCTTACGCATGTTCAGCTGTTGGACAAATGTAACCTTTAGTCAAAAAATCGAGTTAAGCAAAAATATCTGAATGCTGAATTCATACAGAACTGTTAATTTATGGCAAGTTCATTATAATTAATTGCACCCAGCACTGGTACTTACAGTAAACACAAGTGCATTTTCATTGCTGGAATAACACGCAATCACAATTAAAATTATAGAAGTACTCGTGTAAAAGTACAAATAATTCATTAAAAAAATAGTTTTACCCAGTGAGATCAAATCAATTAACAGTTATCACTGAATAAATAATCTGTAATGTGATGGGGAAGCTGACAACGGAGTGCGGATCCAAATGCAGGATTTACTATGAGAATGGTCAAGCAAGCAATGGTCAATACAGGAACAAACAGATGTATACAGATAATACGTGGTCGATAAACAGGCAAATGGTCAGTTTAGGCAGGCAGCAGACAGGAATAGACAAACAAGGTGAGCGTCAAAACACGGCAAAGCAAAGAAAACGCATTGTGATGTCACAAATGCAGTAAACAAGACTCAGCACTGAAGCATGTGTGTGTGTGCAGTTTTTAAAGTCCATCTAATCAGTCCTTGAAAATTCTCTGGCTATGTGTGTGTGAAATCAGTGGAATCCAGAACAGGTGTGTATGAGCGGTGCATGACTGAACCTGTAGTCCATATACCAGCTGATTTTTTAATTCTGTATTGATCTGCATGTTTACCAGCGATCTGCCAGGATTAGATTGCTGGTGATTGTGACAAAATCAGAGATCTATGCAAAAACTAACTTTCAGCAAAACTAACTTTTTACCTTTCTGAAATACTTAATATAATAAAGGCAATTATTCTGTATAAAACAAAAGCACATTAAACAATAATTTAGTCATTTACATATTGCAATTTTTTAATTAAATGCTTGTAAACAATATGAACATTACCCAGTGCTCATTATCACCATTTGTTTGTGTAAAAAAGAAAATAGCATGACCTAAAAAAATAATTATAAGAAAAATATCCTTATTAACATTACAAAATAAGACAATATCATCGAACATTGTGTGTTTTAAACTCTGGTATGATTTGAATTTGGTTGATCCATTTATAATTTAGCAATGCAAACGTGTACCTTTTGAAAAGGTACTGCTCACAGTGACAGCTTTTGTAGTTTTTTTTAATCATATAGATGTAAAGTTTAAATGTAGAATCACAAATGTGTTCTTTCTTTTAGATGTGTTGGTTAATTTTTTTTTTTTTTTCAATTTTAGGTAAAATGGAACAGATATATGTATATAACCGTATTGCATTGTTTTAAAGATTTAATATTTTGAATATTTACTGTAGTGTCATAAAGCTCATTATTTATTTATTTTTATTTTTTTACAAGAGAAAATGCTTTTGTTCATGTAATAATTTTGTCTTTATATATCACATAAAAGTGATTTCTGAAGGATCCTGTGACTGAAGACTGGAGTAATGAAGCTGAAAATTCATCTTTAAAATCACAGGAGAAAATTATTAAACTAAACTATAAACAAATTTTGAACAGTTATTTTATGGTGCAATAATATTTCACAATTTGCACTGTATTTTGATTAAATAAATGCAGCCTTGGTGAGCAGGATAAGCTTACTTTAAAACATTTAAAAATCCTACTGACCCTAAATATTTGACTGGTAGTATATATATATATATATGTTATAAATAATATTCATATACAATTTAAACATGTTGAATGTTGTTTCCATGCAGTTTTTTGTTCTGGTTTCTCTAAAAGCAGATTTTCTCTTTACATATTTAAAGAAATGAAGGATAAATGATGTCAGCAAGTTCAAAACTTCATTGTATTTCCCAAAGCATGAAAAAACCACACTGTTTAGGTAAATGGCTTTCAGATGGAGTCTTTGTAGAGAGAAAGGGAATTATCCCTGGTTTTGACAGACTACCCTTTTGTATCTGCCTTGGGCTCCATCCAAATCTGTCAGAACATGTCTGCATAAAGAGCATCATCAAGTCACCTCAAATATTCAGCACATACGCCTCACAAAGATGTCTTGAGCGGTGCAGTGTACAAACTCAAGCAGGTCTTTTTCGCCATGAATAGACTGTTTGTCAAGAAAAAAAAGCGCAAATACTCACAGCACGCAATGCAGTCATGCCTGTTCTGTTTTTGAGTGATCTACACTGGTTCTTTACCAAGCGAATTCCTTGCACTCACGGGATTTTACAAATACATTTTTCAAAGTTCAAAACGCCCTCAGGCAACAGTCGTATTTCGTTCATAAATCCATGTAAATAGCAGCCAAATGTCTATTCGCCTATTCAGAAACGGTTAGCGTAGCTGGCAGTTTCTGCTATCAAGTCTAATCTTTCTCATTTCCCTCACAGGCAGTCTGGCAGCTAATGGTCTGTATTAACAGAAATAACATTAATAAATTTGGTCATATTAGACCTGAATTGGGCCGAACTCCAAGCACAGAAAGTCAAACATAACATTGACAGACAACTGGGAGTGATGCACTGACACAGGTAATTATAGACAAATGATCTTGTGACTAGAGCTGGCAGTGGACAGAGACGACCAAATTCAGGTTCATTTAACAATTATTTCTCATTTTTCGAAAGGATAAATGCTCATTTGTGGTGTCAAAGTTCATGCTTCAATTCTAATTTAATAAGAATTTATGCTTTTCATAAGTAGACTTTAGCCCCGGAGTCTAATAACCACAGTCCAAGAAAATTGGTCCACTGGGATTTGAAATGTGATACAAGCAATTGACATATTATGGTTTGGCACGGGGAAAAGAATAATAACAAAAATATATTTAAATCTCAGAATATTCCATTTAAATCATTATGAAGGATTGTGATGATTTTGGGGTTGCTCCTTGCCAGGAGTGTGACAGAGTTATAGCCATAAACGTTCACAGCGTGAAGTCTGGGACGGGAACTCAACCTTAATCTACACGTCAGCTCAAAGACCAGAGCTCAGTTACACCTGCTTTTTATAGGCCATGCTGATGTTCAATCAGTTATTTGCAGTCCGCTATCACAAACTGATTTGTACCCTGACAAATTAAGGCAAAATGAAGTTTTTTTTTTTAAAGGAAATTTAATTTCCAAGGTGCCAAATTGCTTTCTGGCATCACAGCTTAAAAGGAAAGTTCATTCAAAAATGAAAATTTGCTGTTAATTTACTCACCCTCAGACCATCATTGTTAATTTTTTCCACAGTTTAAACACTAAAGAAGTTTTTTTTTTCAAAAACTGTGTTTTTGTTTCATTGAGATGAAAGGCTATACTGGCACTTTAAGAGTAAAGAAATACACACTTTCTAAACTGTTATTTTTATCAAATTTAATGTAAATAAATTGTGTAATTACCTACTGTATGTCTTTTCAAACACAATCAAATTGATATGTCGCACTCATTTCTCAAATCAGTTCCTTTACCTAAAATAGCACACTCAAAAAATAAATATTTCTGCTTGCTCAAAGTACTTATTTAAAATGAGTTAAAACAACACAATTCTTACTTTTTTAGTGGGGACAACGTAATTGTTTTTTATTTAATCCACATAAACCGGTGCACCCGGAGGAAACATGCAAACATGGGGAGAACATGCAAACTCCACACAGTCACCAACAGACCCAGCCGAGACTCGAACCAGCAACCTTCTTGCTGTTAGGCAAACATGCTTCCCACTGCACCACTGTTCTTTGAACTTAACATTTTAATTTCTTTAAACTATTCCCCATGTCTCCGTTTAAAATGATTGGTTGCGCTAGAAATTGTGCTTTGACAACCGCACTGATTGGTTGATATAGGTTATCACAAGGTGGTCATTTTGCTTGTTATGATGAATTTTGCTGAGGTGCAGCGAGACAGAGGTACTATCTGAACCCATCTGACGAAAGAGAAAAGTTAAATTAGTAAGTAGATATTTAAATGCTTATATACATTTTTAAATTAATATACAAGCAGGGGCAACACACAAGCGTAGTGGGTAGTGCTGTTACCTCACAGCAAGAAAGTCGCTGGTTCGAGTCCCGGGTCAGTTGGCAGTGGCAGTGTATGTCCTGGTCCTGCAAGTTGGTGGGTTGAGCATTGGGCTAACAAACTACACCTTGTAAAAATGAGATGTTACGAAACACCAACATAGTGCGGCTAAATATCAACTTCAATACGAATGGCCCTGGGAGTAAGTAAAGAATACAAAAGCTAGAAAATTTAAAAGTTTAGTCTATTAGCCATTTTAAGTAATCTGTAATTAAACACTTAAGTTATCTGTAATTAAACACTTAAGTTATCTGTAATTAAACACTTAAGTTATCTGTAATTAAACACTTAAGTTATCTGTAATTAAACACTTAAGCTATCTGTAATTAAACACTTAAGTTATCTGTAATTAAACACTTAAGTTATCTGTAATTAAACACTTAAGCTATCTGTAATTAAACACTTAAGTTATCTGTAATTAAACACTTAAGTTACCTGTAATTAAACACTTAAGTTATCTGTAATTAAACACTTAAGCTATCTGTAATTAAACACTTAAGTTATCTGTAATTAAACACTTAAGCTATCTGTAATTA